TGGTATATAAACGGAGTTGAAGGCTTTTAAAATTTCCAAATTTTGTCTGACCTCTTCTTTTGACTCGACCCACTGCGCGCCTCGCCGAGTCGCTTTCTTTGACATCATGATGAACGCTCCTGGCCCTGTCTACGCCCACGTCTGTCATCCGCACTCTCGTCCCAAAGATGAACGCCGTATGAACGTTCAGACGTCGCCGCATTTCCTTTGACAAATCACGAATTTGCGTGGGTTTTTTGAATTTTTCTCCTCCAATTTTTCGAAGGATTTTGTTCATGATTCAGGGTTGCCACAGGCAGGGAATGCCGGGGAAACCGGAAAGTGTCAGGGAATTTAAAAATGTCAGGGCAAACCTGGAGATGTCAGGGAAAATGGCGTAAATGTCAGGGAAAAATTGATTAGGTAACACCTTTATTTGTCTTCTGGAATGTGTTAAACGTTTCAAACAAAACATTTTGCCTGAAAAATATTTAAAATTATGTCTTTTTAACCATCCGGCATTTCTTCAGGGAAATGTCAGGGACATTCAGTCTCTAAATTCTGTAGCAATCCTGAATTGATTGGATCCAAAATTTCTGGAAATTTCATGGGAAAATAATCATAACTTCCTTCAAACTTTAATATTTTCTGAAAGGAAATTCGGCAACATTTGAATTTCGAATGCTTGTACAGCATTCTTACTTAGCAAGGCAGTAGTGATGTCTGTGGAAGATGGTGGCTNGGGGGGGGGGGGGGGGGGGTGTAGTTCGATTTACTCATCAAGTCTTCGCGCTCCGCGGAAAAAAGGGTGGGCGAACGATAGAATTGAAATATTCTCGGAATTCGGTGTTTTTCGTTCCGGAACGACTCAAGTGTCATTGGAGGTTTCAATTCTTGGTTTCCATGCCTCAAAAAGTTCGTCCGTCGCAAGGATGGACCGCGTTTGGCAGAAAGGAACCAAGCCACATCGGCTATTAAAAACTGGGCAATTTAATTTTTTACCAGAGAATGATTTTGCGGATTCCTTTGAAAAGCTGAAGGAATTTGCCTCGTTGTAGGGAGAAAATTCGCTGAAATTTGCCCAAAAATCCGCACAAACATTTTCATGAAAAAAATTGGAGTGCCCATTCAAATGTGGCAATATCTGATGTGGCTTGTTTCCTTTCTGCTTGACACGGTCCACATGTGGCGTGGGTACGGATGTACACCGGGATCAAATTCATATTTGCTGCTTCTGGGGACAAAATAATTCTATATTTTCTTTCCCGGTAAAATTTGCTCAAGGACTCATAAATGTAACATATTTTCATCGGCGAGATGGGAAGGATCTATTTTTTTTTAGGTTTTTAACTTTTTTATGTTTTAGCCGCTGAAGAAGGGATTAGTTGCTTCGCCCCAAAAGATACGGTTTTATATGTGTGTTTTTACAGCTTTTATCCCAATTTTTGTGTCATCGTTTATAAGATTCCCTCTGTATGAGTTTGATTAAATCAATCCCTATGGTTTTCCTCCTTCTTTTTTACTCCGTTTAGTGTTTTCTATGGGCATGAGCGGTGGGAAGCAGAAAGAGGAAAACAAGCACTTGTTATCGTTTTAGTTTTCAGAATTTGTGTATTCAAAACACTCGCAGATGTAGCAGAGCAATCATTGATAATCAATGCAAGCGTTTTTTGATCTGATCAATCGTTAATCGCCCTTAATATTGATGTATTGATTACTGCGCCGCGGGGGGCTCTTTAAATGACTCATCATTTTTTAGCCCAGCAATTTAGCCTATTTGTTGTTGAGTGAGTTGCGCCATTGGTAGAATTTTGAATTCTGAGCGAAGACAAACGGATTGACGAGCTTTTGGAAGAAGTGGCGAATTCTAACATTTTGAAATGTATTTACGATCATTCATTTGAGAAAGAACGATTTGGCAACCTCGCGTATAGACTTGGCGATGACGCGGCCGCGGCCCGGCGCACAGTGTGTTGATCCGTCGATCTGAGTGAAGTAACTCCTTTTTTACCTCGTTGCTTCGTATCTCAGCATTAGAAATTTCCTTATGTTACTAGACGAACGCCGAAATAAAAGCCAAAATAAACGAGAAAAATTGATCTATCACTGAGAACTTGATCCTTACGTATCTTGTTAGGGGTAATGCCAGGTCACTTGCCCCTGCCAAGGTTTTAGTAAAATGACGGTACTGCAGCAGCTGAATCTTCCAAGCACTGTTGCCACGTAGTAGAGACGTGATTCTACTCGGAAAACCTTCCATTGAACAGGAAAAAACACCCTTTCAAACCGCGATTCCTCCGCGGGTTTTGCACCAACAATAACAAAAATTCTTAGCTGCCGTGCTAATATTGAACTCCAAAAGGGCGCGAAAATTCAAACCTCGACAATCAGTGATTCCGTGGATGGGTGATCATCGATGAGTACGTGATCGGTCAACTCAGAGACAAGGCGTCGCTACCCGCATAAAGGAACCTAACTCTATTCCAACGTTGTAAACTGGATTCAAACAATTCTATTTTTTGCACAATTTTCGTCAAAAATTTTCTGATTTTTGCCTGAAATTTTTCAATCAATTTTCAACAATTCAATTTTCATCAAATGGATGTATTGTAAAAGTTCTGAATTTTTCTGTCGAGGTGGTACTGAATTTTTTGAGAATGTACTGACAAAGTACTGTAAAAGTACTGATTTTTGGCCCGCCTGTTTTAGTAGACACTTTGGGGTGTCTGAAGCCTTGGCTATGCTTGACTAGACAAGTAAAATTACGTCACCGACTGCGTGTAAAAAAGCAGGGATTACCTCTTCCGCTGATGGGAATACGGTTGCATATTTGCACGATCCAAGTGACTCTTGATTGGTGTGTATAAGAACGCATAAGTTGGGGAAGGTCAATATAATGACGTGTATGAGTCATGTGTTGTGCCGTTTGTGTACTTTCCAGTGCATCACTCTAATATTTAGGTTTGCAAGTTCGTAACAAGAGATTAATCCAGCTTGGGATGCCTTGAACCTTCTATTATTTTTTTTTATACCGCCGAGTGTCTATGCTCATGAACCAAAACAGTTGCGCAATTTTGAAGCGATGAACTGAATTAGACTACGTTAATTAGTGACCTACATTGTTATCTCCTGCAAATGTTCATTTAAGATACCTTCTTGCAACATGCTGCACAACATTTTTAAAATGAGTTTTTAATGCGAATAATTTCTTGAGTCCTGTTCCGTGGCACACAGGCTCGTCTGGAGCAATACATGGTAATTTTTCCGTAAATTTTCATGTGTCCTATTTTGTTCCGTAGCTGCTTAAAGTGGTTTTCAGCTGCGTTAGCTAGGGCACTTGGGCTTTTTTGCTCGATTGACGCACAAACGTGGTTTTTTCCGCATACCCCTCGGGGCGGGGCCCCGTTGCGAACAGCGGAACCTCTGAAGAATCAAAACGCAATAGGAACTTAGGTGGCAAAAATTGCTGATGCGCGTAGAGGAGCTCCCTGAGGAACCCCCTATCCCTTCAGAAAATCATAACCCTTAACAACGAGGAAAATTTATACTTGCACGTAATCGGGTTTCCCTCTTCCGTGCTCAAATCCGATCAAAGTCGACCGACTTATTTATTACCAGACGAACGTAACTCCTCATGAAATTACCTCACTCTCCTCCATTTACAAATTTTCAGCTTTTCCCCTTTTGATGATAATCGAGAATTTGCAAGAGTCAATATTATCGCCTCATTTGAAGTACTTGATAGGGGTGGCCTGACGAACCAGAGCCTTTCCCGCGGTAGGCACCAAGGATTTTTTTTTTAAAAAAAAATGTTGGAGTCCTTCCCAAATCTCTCCCTCCTTCTCCATCCCTTCCCCTTCGAGATTTTGACGCAGTCTTTATTTGAAAACTTTTCAATTCGCCATATTTTAATGCTTTAATATACAATTATGCGGAAAAATGTCCCACGGTGATTGATCGAGAGACTGGCATTTCGATGTTTTCAAAGTAGTCCCCATGATGGTTCAAATTCGAAATCTATAACAGGGTAATTCAGGAGGCTCGCACCACCAGCTTCAAGCATCACCCTTGTAACTTTGGAACGAATTGAGATAGAGACTTGAAATTTTGCGAGTGATCCTATGTCAAAGGGAACTATTTTTGGAATCCCCCCCCCCCCCCCCCCCCTTAAAAAACTGGGGATCTCTTTGGAAAAGGGCGCAAACATCTCGGAACCGGACTTGGGACTTTCAAATCACCCTGTATGGATGCATTGCGTCTAGGCTGAGGACCGATCTTCAATTTTTGTCGATCGGAGCCCTTTCTCATTGGCGGATCCAGCAAATTGGCGACATCGTCTTTTTTGCGTTTAAAGCTATGGAAATGTATCGATTCTTGGAGGGGCCAGGTGTTCCAACAAGAATCGATTATTTAGCATATGAGGACTGTAACAATAGCGGATGTGAAAAATTACCTTTTCGAAACACGCTTAAAAAATTGTTTTGTTCACACAAAAATTTAATATGTTTGGCTCTGGCATAATTCGTCGCTCCTCTGACGTAAGGGCGTAACTTGATTTCTACGTGACCCTTGTGCTCCGTATACCTCTATGCTTTCTAAGGCTCATGCAAAAATCTAGATACGCCCTTACGTCAGAGGAGCGACGAATTTACAGATCTCGAAGATCACATCTCAAGTATTTTCTCAAAATTTTCTCGATGCCTAAACAGTTTTTTGAAAGTGTTTCGAAAAGGTAATTTTTCAAAGCCGCTATTGTTACAGATAAGTCCTCATATGTTTAAATGGAAGAAATCCGGTGTTGCCAAATCGGTTCCGACTCTGCCTTTTTTTCCGGCGGTTCAACTTGGCAGTGAAGCGGAGGACGGTGCGGAGCGAGCTTATCGTCACGGCGACGCGACGTCATCGCGGGGCGGCCGGCGCGGCGCCGTACGGTGGCGCTCTCTGGGCGCTCGGCCCGGCAAGATGGCCGGGGAGCTGGGAACTGGCAAGTCTCGGTGCCTGCGAGTGTCCATGTCGACCGCGGCGGGGTGTGCAGTGTGCGGTGTCGGTGCGCGCTGTGCTTGTGCTTGGCCTACTAACCTGCTTCCGAGTCGGCGGCTAGTCGATCGAGTCGCGTCGAGCACTCGGCAGCTTATCTCGAGGCCGCCGCCAACCCGGTCGCCCGTCGCAACTTCACTTTTCACAGCTCCGCGCCCGGAAAACCCTTTTTCCGAGTCCCCGTTTTCCCCCAGTTTTCGCCCGCCCCCGACCCCGTGATTTCGCCTCGCGACTCGCCCCGAACCCGGTGAAAGTGGACCCGCCACGATCCGCTCTTTCGGAGCAGGAAGTGCCATTTGGATACGCAAGGATACCCACCAAGTGATTAACCCTACTTTTGCCTCCGTTACTACCAGTGCTCCACCATTTTTCATATCACCGTTCCCCGCATGTATGTGACGAGTGTTCCGAATTCTCAACCCCGAGTGTTTTCGGCCCCGCACGGATTCGACGATCTGTGTCAATGTCAGTGCCAGTCAGGAGGGGAGTGTTAGTGCATGAGAGGCGCCCTTCGGGGAGGGCGAGGGGGGTCAACTGCTCCCATGCCCCCCATTTTTGGAAATTGACCCCACGATCTGTCCATAAACGTCGGGCTCTTTTTGCGATTTTTGGCCCTCTCCCCCCCTTTCCCTTCAAAATAGTTTGTTAGGTGATCTTGTGCCCCCCTCCCCACTTACCCTTTTCACCTGAATATCCGAAATCTTCTCACTGTCGGTTTCTTTTGGCGGGTGTTAAACTCGAATTTGGAGAAATCGTGTTTTTTTGCAATTTTGCCTTTAAGATCTGATTTTGGTAGGGCCCTTGTTCTGCATGCGGGACTTTTGAAATATCGAGTTTTTGCTCCAAGCGTAGCGCATCGACGGTTGCACTGGCGCGAGTCCACTCGTGAGGGCCCGTCAATGTCAGGTGGCAGTGTCAGCGTGGTTTTTTTTATAGATTAGCTAGCCGTCGAATTGGGTTACGCCGCTGCCGCCCTGCTCACCCTTTGCGGCCTTTTCGTCGGAGCTCTTGCCGCACGCTTTCGAGGTTTGCCCCCGGCCCCCGTTGCTCGTTGGATCATTTGCATTGCATTTTGCAAAAAGGAACCACTAGCATTACAATGATGCTAAGATTGTGCAACTTCATCTTTTGCAATAAAATTGCGGAAATCGTGAAAAACTGTGAAATTTAGATGGTAATTTTTGTCTTAAATTTGCAGTTTTTAGCGAGTAAAATAGAAACTATTAATGGATAATCGGGTTTTTCCTCCAAGACAAAAGAAGTTGCACAATCTTAGCAACGTTGCAATGCTAGTGGTTCCTTTTTGCAAAATGTAATCCATGTGTTGGTCTCATCACGGCGCACAGTCAATTAGAGAGGTCGGACATGCAATTTTTGACTTAAACTGCAAAATGTTATGTTTATATCGCCACATTTTAAACTTTGAGAAGTGCCTCTTGGAGAGAATTTCACGAGGAAACCAATGGAACCACTTAAAGAACTTCAAAGTTTTGTATGAACGGAGTTATAAGCATTGAAAGCTTCCAAATTTTGTCCGATCTCTTCTATCGATTCGATCCATTGCGCGGCGCGCCAGTATTGCAGCATTGTAGCGCGTAACATATATATTTTCTGTCTTCCCGGTCGTTTCCGGAGTGAACGAATATTTGCGCGCTCTCGCACCGAGAACGATTACGTTCGCCTCGCGTTGATACGTATCGACGATCGCTCCGCTGTTAATTTCAATTTGTTCTGACCTCTGCTTCCCTTCTTGCTGAATCCCCGCGAAAATGCGGTTTTTCAACGTAACCTCGCCAACGTTTCAGGCAGGATCCCCCAGCCGGAAGGAACGCTAATAAACGATCGGGGGGAAACACCCCCCCCCCCCCCCCCATTGATAGTACGGCTGAAATATCTTTCAATTTTTCGAAGAGCATTTGCATTTTTAGAAACCCTAAACCTTATTTTCTTCTCCAAGCTCTTCGAAAATCAAGATTCTCGGACATTTTTACCATGGGCCCGGATTCTTCTATGTATATTTTCATACCAAGTTGTCATGAAATCATTGCAATGTGATCTCACGCCCCTTTTGTCATAATCAGCTCGCAGCTATAATCAGCAATCTCGTTTCATTGGTTTGTGAGGGGGGAAGGGGGGGCTCCTCTCTGACTGGCTCTGGTGGTAGTTTTAATTCCTCGAGAGTTCCGAACCAAGTGTTAACACCTCGCTGTGATTCCAGGTTGAAGTGTTCAGCGTGCCAACGGAGCTCAAATCAAAGATCGATCAATAGTTACCAAATTTAGTCAAAATATTGTGTTACTCGAGCACTTCAGTCCTCAGAAGTGTGTTCAAAGACTGGACATTTGTGCAATTGTGCTACGCGCTCGATGTCCACTCAACTCGATTTAGTTAATGTGCAGTGAAATCAGTGCTTCTCAGTGAAGGGACAATTGAAAGCCCGAGGAATTGCCGGCTAAAACTTGTTGGGCAAGTGTTACGCAAGTGTGGAATCAAGGATTTCCCGTCGGATTTTGAGCTTTGCCGGAGTGCGGACAGAGATTGGACGGGAGTTTCGGCCATGAGCAATTGTCGGGTATCGCGGTGAATTTCGGCCATGATCAATTTCGACCGGGGCTATTCGCCGCCCGCGGGGGCCGGCGTGGCCTAAGCGTCGCCGCCGCCGGTGGCCCCGATCGCGGGCCGCGTGGCCGTCGCAGGAAATTCGGAGCATGTCCGTAACCGATTGCTTGGAGCGGCTCCAGCCGTGCTCGGCTTCCCGCTACCAGGATGACGTCATCAACGGGCTCTCGACCGCCTCCGACGACACGCTGTCGCCTCAGACGAGCGTCTCCCCCGAACCGGACGCCGCGAGCATATTCGACTGGTAGGCAGCTTAGCTTCTTCACGCATTCACTGAAAAAAAAAAAAAAAAAATTGGTCGAATTTACCATTCCTTCACGCTGTATTTCGCACAGCGTCAATTCAGAGTCAATTCTGCCAGAAGAAAGGTGAACGTTACCATATACTGGTACATGTAACTATTCCTCCGGCGGAATCGACTTATAGATTGGTAGAATTTACCATTCCTTCACGCTGTATTTCGCACAGCGTCAATTCAGAGTCAATTCTGCCAGAAGAAAGGTAACCGTTACTCTGTACTGGTACATGTAACCATTCCTCTGGCGGAATCGACTTGAAGATTGGTCGAATTTACCATTCCTTCACGCTGTATTTCACACAGCGTCAATTCAGAGTCAATTCTGCCAGAAGAAAGGTGAATGTTACCATATACTGGTACATGTAACTATTCCTCTGGCGGAATCGACTTGAAGATTGGTAGAATTTACCATTCCTTCACGCTGTGTGAAATACTGCGTGATGGAATGGTAAATTCCACCAATCTTTATTTTCAGTGTTCATATTCCAAAAGCTTTTTCTCCGCCCCTTCTTGCTTATTTACTCATGCCAGGGGATCATTTCATGGAATCTCAATAGAGAATGTTGACAAATGTAGAAAATAATGAAAAACACCATGTCTATTAGTCTGTAATATAGCTAATAGAGAATTTGCAGGTGTCTGAACTTTGATGAATTTCATGTTAAAGTGAAAATTACTGAGTGAACTGAACACGAGGATACCCTTTGTTCCTGAATTGAACAATTTTTGGAGAAGATATGACAAAATGATCTAATCTGCTAAAATAGACGTGTTTAAATGGGAAATGCCGCCAGATGACGTCACAAGGCGGTGCATTTTCTCGCTTTTAAATCTATTTTTACAGTATTTCCCATATCAGAAAAAATTTATACAAAATACTGTGGAATCAGATTTTTCGGTACTTTTCGATGAATCAATAAAAAATGTGCATGCAAATTCTCCATTGTCGGTCTCCCATGGTGTAGTGGTTGTAGCGCCGGCTCTGTAAACAGGAGGTCCTAGTCGAGTGTCCACTTTATAAGTTAGAACATGAGCCGCGGGAATCGGTGCCGTCCGTCACAACTTGTGTGTGGGTCGGTAGACGTACAGGTAGAAGAGTACCCAAGGTACACAGTACAGCAGTACATACGTCCAAGACAAGGGTTTCAGGACGAGAGATGAGGTTAAAGCGGCCTTGACTCCCATCCCGTACGACTCGCCCGACGAAGACGCTCACCTACGGATCTTTCTAAATGGAAAGTTTTTCCTCTTCTTTCTATGACTTGTCAGCTTTTATTGCAGCGTTTGCCGTTTTGATAAACGTTGTGTGGGCACAGGGAGAGAAAAACGCGAAAATTTAGGGAAAATAAATGGGTCAGGGAGAACCGGGAGCAGTGAGGGAGAAAACCAGTGGCGTGGCGTTAATTGCGATTTGTCGATTGTTATGCCATTCAAACCTATGGTAAAGAATCGATTATTTAGGTGTTCACTGCGAACACCCTGTTTATTGATCCTTTTTCATAGGTTTAAATGGCATAACAATCCATGTATCGCCGCATGTAATCGCAGCTCACACCACGCCACTGGAGAAAACCCGAGGACTCGAAAATTGGAGGAAAATTATTAGGTTTACGGAATAGGCGAATTTTGAAGTGTTCCGTCTCATAGCTTACTTTTTCTCCAAGCCGAGTTAGGAAATGGACATTTTTCATTCCGTAGTATGTCTTTACCGTCCGATAGTTTATCAGAATTGGTCCTGAGAAATCTGAAAAAATCTGAGAATTTCCTTTTCAAATTTTGAATTGTTGAATACTCCAGGGTGTCTACAAGTCCGGAAATAGTGCTGATATTTCAAGGGCGGTCCGAAAGTACTGAAAAAGTGCAGAAATTCCGCAAGAAGGTCCGGAATTTTTTGGTCATTTTTGTCGCAATTTGAGCGAGAAATTCAAAATGCTAAAATTTTTCGAATTTCGTCAAATGTAGGTACTAAAAGAATACTGAATTTTTCCGTGGAGAAGGTATACTGAATTTCTTGGGCATGCACTGGAAAAGTACATTAAAAGTACAGATTTTTGGCCAACCTGTTTAAGTAGACACCGTGGACTCAGAAAAAAACATATTAAGGCTCCAAGCAGCAAGCACACAATCGCTTTCCCCTCTGAGAAACATGTTCTTATGTAGATCGCTTGCTTTTTGAAAGTTCTCGTGCTTGGAAAACAGTTGTCTAAAGTTCACGACTCGCCAAGGAGAGCTTTGAGGCAACGATGTGCGTTAGATTCTCAGAAGGCACAATCACGGATAACCTCAAAGAGTAAGAGGGTTTGCACTTAGCGGGTCACTTTGATGCATTATTCATCCTGCAAAATTCTGAGAATTTTAATTGTAACAATAACTTACAGTTTTTCAGAGAAACTTGAGTAGGTACGACGTCATTTTCAATATTCCTGACCTCGATCCCGCCTTCTAAAAAAGAAATGTTTCTAAGATGTATTTTCCTCATTTCTATTGCTCCCTGCGAGAAGCGGGAAAAATTGGGTCTCCTCATTGTCGGAATTGACAGACTTGGAATCGCCGCAGGTTTACGCATCACGCAACATTAAATATCTTGATTAAGAGTCGAATTCTGTAATTTTCGTTGTTCGAATCGTGTTCTACGAGGTACTATGATTCAGAAACGTGTGTGAGATTGCGTGACTCGGTAACTTGTCTAGTGATCCGCTCCTCCTGCCTGGCGAGCTGGCAACGCTACGCAAGCAGTGGCGTGACGTGCTTTGCGATTCATCGATTGTTATGCCGATTAAACCTATGTAAAAGGGTCAATATACAGGGTGTTCGCAGCGAACACCTTACTAATCGATTCTTTACCATAGGTTTAAATGGCAAAACAATCGATTCATCGCCATTCACGTCACGCCACTGACGCAAGGAAGCCGGGCGCGCAATGTGTCATGTCGCACCTAATTCAATATCCCAGGCGAGCGGCACAGCAGGAAGTGAGACCTTTGGGCTCTCCTCGGCCCTACGCAGTGCGCACAGCCACACTGTCGTCCTGAGGTAGAACGCCTTATCAACATTCGACAGTTGCCGAATTTCCACCGATAAAATTTGATTTTTAAGGAGGTTTACGAATTAGGGATGGACGAATATCGAATTCGAATATTCGAAACTTTTCGAATGCGAATATTTGAGAATTCGAATCTTGCGAAAATTGCGAATAGTTCGGATGCGAGTATTCGAATATTTTCGATTATTGCTTCGATTTTTGAGTTTTTATGAACCGTGAGAGATAAAATGACACTTTTGAATGCGATTATTCGAATATTCGAATGCCAGTATTCGAATTTGCGATTTCGAATACTTCGGCAAGCGAATATTCGAATTTGATGCGATTATGTACCGCATCGCGGTTCCAATGATTAGAATATCGAATATTCGAATATCTAATTATTCGGCCATCCCTATTACGAATATGTTTCCTTGAAGTTTTCAGGGACCTTAAGTGATACTGCGAACAAAATTACCTGAAAAATTGGGAGGCAAATAATCATAAGTTTTCTAAAAAAATCGTGTTTTATTGGAAGAAATTTGGCAGCGCCTGCGGGTTTATAGGGCGCTCTTCCTCAGCACGGCAGTACAGAGAAGCCGAGGGACGCCAAGTTGTTCTCGTTGTCGGCGTTGCAGAGTTTGTCGTGTCAATGCAGCCGCGTTGCCACGCGTAATCGTTCTGTCATGAGCCACTAGGCAGGCTGCGAACAGATTGTAAAGTCTGCGGGTGTGGGAAACCGCTAAGGATCTTTCACGCTGGTCACAGAATCGTGTTTTCATGCTTGATTCTTTTAGATCAGCTAAAAATAATCAAAACTGTCCAAACAGCAACTCGTTACGTTCAATATTAACCGAAATATCGCCATTTGAAAAATTCGGTTTATAACGTCATCCACCGCGGTGCGGCATTCTTGGTTTCTTCCACCTCGCTTTCATCCGAGTTACACGTTGAGTAACCAGTGGAAATTAATGTGTGTTTCCGGCACTAATGAAAGCATGGTGGAAGAAACCAAGAGTGTCACTANAGACAGAGTATGGCCATTTCTGTTCCGGTTTTTCATTGGTCGCGAGCAAATAGGCTGACACGATGCTCTTAGGGCCGTAAATAAACAAACAAGATGGCCGTTATCAGCAAGCAAGATTGAGGTTATGCACATCTTACATCCTCCTGTGATAAAGGTGAAAGGCAATTTAACAATGTTTTCATGTGTTTTTCGTGTGCTATTCGTAGATATGCTCGTTTAAATTGTTACTGACGCTTAATTGAAATTTTTGTCAAATTTAGCTTCTCATCGACGTTACGGTGAGCCGCCATCTTGTTTGTTTATTTACGGCCCTAAGAGCATCATGAAGCCTAAAAACTCGTTGACCAATCAAAAAGCGGAACAGTTTTCCTGTAGTAAAAAGATACGAATGGCCATACTCTGTCTATAAAGGTACTCTAGGTTTACGAATATGTTTCCTTGAAGCTTTCAGGGACCTTAAGTGATACTGCGAACAAAATTATCTGAAAAATTGGGAGGCAAATAATCATACGTTTTCTAAAAAATTCGTGTTTTATTGGAAGAAATTTGGCAACGCCTGAGGGTTTATAGGGCGTTCTGCCTCAGCACGGCAGTACAGAGAAGCCGAGGGACGCCAAGTTGTTCTCGTTGTCGGCGTTGCAGAGTTTGTCGTGTCAATGCAGCCGCGTTGCCACGCGTAATCGTTCTGTCATGAGCCACTAGGCAGGCTGCGAACAGATTGTAAAGTCTGCGGGTGTGGGAAACCGCCAAGGATCTTTCACGCTGGTCACAGAATCGTGTTTTCATGCTTGATTCTTTTAGATCAGCTAAAAATAATCAGAACTGTCCAAACAGCAACTCGTTACGTTCAATATTAACCAAAATATCGCCATTTGAAAAATTCGGTTTATAACGTCATCCACCGCGGTGCGGCATTCTTGGTTTCTTCCACCTCGCTTTCATCCGAGTTACACGTTGAGTAACCAGTGGAAATTAATGTGTGTTTCCCGCACTAATGAAAGCATGGTGGAAGAAACCAAGAGTGTCACTACCACAGTGGATGACGGTAGAACCCGTATTTTTCTAAGTGCGATATCTCTGTTAATATTGGACGTGGAAGGTTGCTTTATACACAGATCTAATTATTTTTAGCTGATCTACAGGAATTAAGCACCAGAACACCATTCTTAGAGTTTTGAGACCAGCGGAACCTGGCCCAGTGACCCATGGTCGGGATATTCCATCAGATCAGAAAAATATAGGTCAGATTACCTGCACTGAGAAAAAAGTTACGGGCTATATAGACCAGCGGGCCGATTATTGAAATTGATTGACAAAGCTATAGACAAAGAAGACAAAAGAGATTTGGAGCGATCCTATTGGTGAAAGCGGGTGGTTGCAATGGACAAAGGAGGTAGGCAATAGACTAACTAACGGCAACCCACGAGGGGCCCGATAGTTAGTCCATCATTTTCTCCCTTCGTCTATAGGACTCACCCATTTTACCAATAGGATAGCTCCAAACTCCCTATGTCTTCTTTGTCTATCGCTCTGTCTATCAATCTCAATAATCAGCCCGCTACCGACCGTACCGGGCTCAAGCCGAATATTCCGGGTGCTGGAGCTGTAGCTTCGATTGCTCCGGGTGCTACGCCCTAACGCGGACGGTATGTCTATATTGCCCGTAAGTACGGCTTCCACGGCAGGAGTTCTTTTTCAGTGTGTTGAAATGAACTCATCTCTTCATGGACCGTATTGTCTATCATATTGAATTGTATCCTTAGGTCCAAACAACATCTTCCTTTTCTTAATCGAGCCGAGTAGACTCATCGTTAGTGCGACTCGAGTCCCTTTATGGAGAGAGTTGTATATGACAACATATCGACGGTGAAACTACCAAACCACGTATCTCGTTTGCGGTGTTTAAAAATCTACGCTCACATTTTATTTTTTTGAAGTAGACCAAATCAATATCATTCCTTGAAATTTTCACAGAATTTTCTCCGCACGAAGAGGAAAAATCACAGAAATTTTCAAGACTGGACGTTAAGTAGTTTTTCATTTAAAAAAAAAGTATGACAGGAAGTCTGCGACGTCGCAAACCGAGATACGTGGTTTGGTAGTTTCACCGTCGATATAATGTATCTTATTTGGCATGGTCATACTCAGACAATGGCAGGAGATACGTCGCCAAAGAAGGTCCTTGATTGGGTTTCTTTTATTAGTAGGCGCAGAGGACGCCCTATGAGAGTTTGAAGGGATGGGATTGAAGCCGATATGTTAAGGTGCTCGATGCCCGAAGGGCTGCGGTTCGACAGGGGGCTGGAGGCAGTGGAGGTCAAGGGTCTCAGAGCGCCCGGGAGCGCTAATTCGTCTTTGATCAACGCATCCCTGAATCCCTCTCCTCTCAATCCGTTTGTTCCCTGACGCATCCCTAATTCCGCGGTCCATCTTTGCAATCGCCGAAAACGTTATCTCTCTCCAAAACGGTATCTTGTGCACCGGAGAGTTCTGCGGGCTGTTTGTTGTAATTGATAGATAAAGTGATCGACAAAGAAGACATAAGGAGAAAAGAGCGATCCTATCGGTTGAAATCGGCGGTTCCTATAGACTTACGGGCCAAATGATGGACCAACTATAGGGTCTCTCGTGGGTTGCCGTTAGTTAATCTATTACCTTCCTCGCATGTCCATTGCATCCACCCGCCTCCACCAATAGGATACCTCTATATCCCTTTTTATCACGGATAATGATCTCGGCTGGATGTCACAAACGGGCATGAAGATTATACAGTTTATGACGTTTTTCGTCATCTTTTGTCACCCCTTGTCTAGATTCCTCTCCTGTACGTACCAACCATAGACATTAGCGTTAGGAAAATGTACACAGTATATGCATTCGTCATCTTGACGTCATAACGTGCTCGATTACAGCTTTGTCTATACATTTCAGCAGTAAGCCTGCTGCCGGCTGAAATACGGGAACCAATCAGAAATGGATTCCGTTTGACTTGACTCTCAGTGTAAGTGGACTGTTAATGCGACGAGGATGTACGATACCCGGCCGTGACGTAGGTCAGAAACGGTTTATCAGAGGCATAACAGCTCGGAGACCTTAGTTTGGCATCTATGACGGAGGTGGAGATTGTGGCCGGCCGCGATCTTCACCTAGTAACCATGATGTCGTAACTCCGCAGCTGCCCTTCACCTAAAAACCATTCTGTGAGTCCATTTCGCTCTTCTCGCTGGGAGCTGAGGGGGCAATCCATTTCTCCCTCCCCCGCTCCCCCCTACCGCCGGCTCTTTTCTCGCTCTTCTTTTTCGTCGTGGGCGCCATCAGCTTCTCGTCGTCGACGCTCCGCGAATTTATTTGAATTTTCTTTTCTTCTCGGTGGATCTCCAGCCTGTGCGCAATGCGTTTTGAGCATGATCCATGTTTTCAAATCGGAATCAATATACAGGGTCGCCACAGTCAGGGAAAACCGGGAAATGTCAGGGAAAATGATGAAAATGTCAGGGAAAAATCATCAAGTCACCTTTATTTGCTTTTTATAATGGCTTTGACGCTCCGAACGACAAATCTTGCCTGAAAAAATTTTCTAATAATGTCTTTTTACCATGTAATATATCTTCAATTGTCAGGAAATTTCATCAAAATGTCTCCGGGAAATGTCAGGGAATTTCATTCTCCAGATTCTGTGGTAACCCTGAATATAGTGCCGCCGAATTTCGGAACTTTTCCCGGAGTCTTAGAGATTCCTGGAATTTTCAGCTATTTTGGGAATTTTTTTTTGTGGAATTCCTGGGTTTTTGTTACTTTAATCGATTATCTGAACAAATTTGAGGATTTTTTTTTTCTCAAAATTTAAATTTGACGATCTTCGAAAGTAAATCCGGGCGTCTTTCGAAATTTTTCCCCGGAACTTTTGAAAAATCGGAATTTTTGTCGGAACTTTGGGAAATTGGAATTAGTTTTGGAAACCCGGGAATCTTTGGTATCACAAAATGGCAGCCTTGAATCATTACATGAATTATCTTGAAAGTTCCTTTCTCCGGACCATGCAGTCACTAGAAACTTTCGTGCTAAAAATTGTCCTCCAAAATTTGAAAGTCAAGTCAGGAGCTCTGTGTGTAAGCTGTGTATCCAATTCCCAATCGATTTCAATGCACTGCGATATTGATGGCCTATTGGAAATAGTACTCATGACTCTTTTTCACTTTTCACTGAAAAAAATAAAAGTATGGTTTGAGACACAGTGACATGAGTAAGTATGGTAATAACGAACAGACTCCATGCTAGCAATTTCTGTAACTCTGACCGCATTCAACGAAAGTGTATAGTAAAAGCTACCTTAAGTCCAACAGTGGCGTGGCATGCTTCGCGATGTATCGATTGAGCTGCCATATAAACCTATAGAAAAGTATCGATAGCCAGGGTGTTCGCAACGAACACTTTAATAATCGATTCCTTAACACATCTTCAAATGGGGAAATATCGTTATAATCGACTTTTAGCGCCTCGCCGCTGCGCCACGCGAACTTTTAAGGCCTCCGCACGCGCCAATTGTGAAGCTCGCTGTTGATTTCAGCTTAATGTGAGGCTCGCCGTAGCTTATCGGGTGGGATTAATTAACATCGATGACCTTAGACGAGCCCCACATTAATTTGATATTAAGCTTCGCATTCGGTCCGATGGGGGGCAGCAGCAGCACAACCGACCACTGACCCGGAGGTCCTCCGTCGAAATCACGGCCACGGTAATCGGTGATTAATGTTGGATGATCGATTATCGATATTTCCGAATTAGAAGCTATGGTAAGAGATCGATTATTACGCGGTGTTGGTTGCGATTTATTTTTAATAAATATAAATATAAAATTATAATAAATATCATTATAATAATTACGTCCGTCGAGAATCCCTTGACTAATTCGGATTTTTTTTACTTCTTTTCCGCAGGCTCGGCCCATGTGAGCAGCAAGACTCGCTCTGGGATAAGATGAGTGGTGCTAGTGCTGTAGCAGGAGGACTCAAGAAACGGAACCAGGAACGGAAGAAACCAGATCCCAAACCCCAGTCTCAGATGTAAGTACAAAATCCTATTTTTCCTAAAGGAAATGTATTGTGTCCGTTGGGGGTATAAGGAAGAGCAGGGTTGCCACGGTCATGGAAAACCGGGAACTTCAAAAAGTCAGGGAAAATTATGAAAGTGTGAGGGAAAAATATCTAAGTCACCTTTAATCGCTTATTGGAATGAGTTGGGCGTTTCGTGCAACATATTTTCCTAAAAACCATTCAAATTTTTGTCTTTTTAACCATCTGTCGTAGCTTCTTTTGTCAGGTAATTTGATCAAATTGTGTTAAGGAAATCAGAGAATAGTCAGGGATATTCATTTTCTAAATTCTGTGGCAACCCTATGGAGGAGCTGGGCGTGCGACCCGGAAAGAGGTGTCAGCGATGAGAGCCATTTTTTGACGCGCTCATAGTTGAAAAAATTGTGCATTCCCTTTAAAAAATGGATTATTTTGATGAGGGCTGCCACAGACAGGGAAAACTGTGAAATGTCGAGAGTTTAAAAAAGTCGGGGGAAAATCCTTTAGTCACCTTGGTTTACTTTCTTAAATGGGATTGATGGTTTGAACATCAAATTTTGCTCGAAAAATATTTCTAAATATGTATTTCTAGCCATCTGGCATATCTTCTATCGTCAGGGAATTTCAAGGAAATGCGTCACGAAATCCAGGGAAATGTCAGGTAATTTCATTTTCTAAATTCTGTTGTAACCCTGTTCGGGACATTTTAAAAATTACCGGGAAACACGCCTTTAGAACTGCGTCTACGTCACGCAAATCAGTGATAAGTGACGCAGTTCACAAGAAAGTGGCGAAGAAGAACGTTCAGGTTTAATGTTTCCTAAGAACAATAGTTAAGTCAAAACAAAATTGCGACCAAAGAAATTCATTTCTATGCCACTAAGCTTCATGCACTGTGCGGCAGTTGCTCAGTCTCTAACGTCAGGGCAATTTTATAAGCCCCGTAATCGCCGATTCCGGCTGCTCAGCCTGATCGTTCGCATAAATAACCGGATTTATTTTTTTTCCTCCCTGAAGTAAAAAACGCTCATTTTCCTGTAGGTCGGGCACCACTGGCGTCGAGTTGGCGCGACTGGCGATCTCTAATTCCGACGCTCATTGTTGCCATGCAACAATTTCAGAAATCCCGCCTCCCAACTTGATTCTGGGACTTTTTTTCAAAGTCTCTTCGTACCGTCAGATTATAAAAGTAAGATTGTCTGCATCCCAGCGGCTCTGATGTCATCGGGGGTTTCCATAGGCGCTATGAAAACTGTCAGCTTTTTTAAACACGAAAATCTGGAAGCGCTGCTTTGGTACACCTCCAGGCAGCGTTGTCGGTTCGCGAACTCTTCTCCTAAATCGTCATTTCCTACGAAATCCTGTGCAAAATCAATTCGAGTTTTTCCGTGCAAATTGGCAGCGTCGTCGCATGGCTCGGTAACCGAAAAAGGGGGTCATCGTCGGAGATAGCCCCCCTCCCGCCTGCACCAATCTCATTCGCTTATCACATCCATTCGTGATTCAACCCCCCGCCCCTCCCATCCATCATCAAGCGCCCAGGGTCAATGGTGTTGTGCTCATCCAAATGCGAAGAGGAATCACAACTTTCAGTTTTGGATTCATCGTAGTTTTAAATGCTTCGATCCGAAGCGAATTGAGGGGTTGAGATGATGTTGAATTTCTCAAGTTAACATATTGCCTTTTCAAACTATTTACACGGTGCGAAATAAAATCATTTCCAAAGTTGGATACCTTACTTCTTCTCTTTTTTCAAAATCGAAACATCGCGGTGTTAACATAACATTGTTCATATTACCTACCCCAATTATATTTTTTCTAATGTCACGCATCCGGAAATTTCATGAAGATTTGATTGTACACAGTTTGCAAGGTGATGTTTCTTTTAGGAGGGAGAAAGAGGACCTTAAGAGCCCGTGCATTGTAAAATTAATTTTTGAAGTTCAGTAAAGTAATGAAGCCAGTCAAGCTGGAACTCGGAGGAGTTTAACGTATTTTTTCCCCCCTTGATACCCCGGGAAGTGAGAGAAAATTACGATTTCTCAGCAAGGAATGAGCTCCTAAGAATCAGGGAAAAGTCAGGGAATTCTAGGTGGCGGTAGCCACCCCGGCCCAATCCTAAAAAACTCCCCAAAAAAAATGACGACCAGAAAAAAAGAAAAAAAAAGACGGGTGGCTGTAAGCATAGTCATAAATTCTCGACACTTTGCTTGAAACCCCCGTTAATTGCAGCTTCAGAGGAAATCTGTGGGATTTTGCTGTGACGCGCCTTCATTTCCGTGCGACAACTCCCGCATGGCCGCGAAGTTGATTTGGCTGCGTGACCTAATCCAACCTAACTCGAGTACACTGTGGCAGTTCTACGCCTTTGCGACAAATTGGAACCGGGTCGGGATCATTAATCGAAGTGAATCAATACCGGAAGCAAACAATCAGTTAGACGCCGAACGTATTCGGCTGTTATTTTCTATTAAGGGTGGAAATGTCGCGTCATAAAACATAGAACAACCGTCAATCTAGCTTATCGATAGCTAATGTTGAAAAATGTGTACCTCGATTGCAACCTTTATAAAGCTCCATTCTATTCTTTTATTTTCGAGGAGACTAACTAAAATATCTTTATAGAAATGTGTCCGCGATCACTTTAGCCGTCAACAACAGAACAACCGTCAATCTAGCTTATGGATAGCTAATGTTGAAAAATGTGTACCTCGATTGCAACCTTTATAAAGCTCCATTCTATTATTTTATTTTCGAGGAGACTAACTAAAATATCTTTATAGAAATGTGTCCGCGATCACTTTAGCCGTGATTTTCTAATTGAACGCAGCAATCGCCGTCATTTTCAAATTGCCCCTGCTCTTTTTCTTCAGTTTTCCTATTAAGAAACGGGCGCATTTCAACGTCGAAGAATCGAAAAGGTTTTCTTTTTTTTTTCTTCTTAAACCGAGACGAGGATGATGATCTAGGATAAGGTATTAGGAAGGGTATTTTTAAATCGTGGAGTAATACAGGTGGCCGCGACATTGACACAAGACACTTGAACCCTCAATGCCCCCTCCCCCTCAGTGTGCATCTGTTGTACAACTTGAAATTATCCGTGAAATTCAAAGTAGAGAAGCATTAATTCCGAGCAAAACCGTCAATTGGTTTCCTTTTTCAAAAATTAAACTTGATCGGAGATTTATAACGTCAAAATCGGAATATCGTATTTGTCGATTTTGACCATCGATTTACTGTTCTTACTTAATGCTTACTTTACTACTTTTACTTGATTACTAATGTTTGAAGGAGGAAAAACGAGAGAAACTTGAAATCCTCCATTATAACTGCAGCCGCATGCAGATGAAGCCTGCGCTACCTAGTAGTGGAACACCGCGCGCCTTCAAGTCCGTGCGACACCTCCCGCATCGCCGCGAAGTTGATTTAGTTGCGTGACCCAACCTCGAATCTTCAGTGGTAGCTCCACGCCTCTGCGACGACAGATTTGAAAAGCACCGCGCGCCTTCAAGTCCGTGCGACACCTCCCGCATCGCCGCGAAGTTGATTTAGTTGCGTGACCCAACCTCGAATCTTCAGTGGTAGCTCCACGCCTTTGCGACGGATTTGAATCGGTTCGAGAGCGGAAAAAGTGTATCGAACAGTGGATTAAACGTTATCCTATCGATCGTCTAATCGATTGTTACGATTAATCAGAATTTTGAGGATGTGTTAAGCAACGTTTTTTCGCAGCAAATAATCGCACATGCAAGTTAAGCGATTTTGATCGTCTAAGTTCTGACTGGCCATTATTTCATAGCATGTTTCGAAAACAATCGATGAATAATCGATTATTTCACTGTCGTTAATCGCTTGATCGATTACAGATTATTCGATTTTTTAAATAATGGAACATTGCTAGAGGGCGTTTCGCCGCTTTGAGTTTTGCCCTCGGGGCGGGCGCCTTATCCACTGCTGCCGTGCTAAGGAAGAACGCTGTATGAGCCTTGAAACGTTTCCAAGTTTCTTCCGATGAAAATCGAAATTACTGGGAAAATGGACCACTAGACAAGGTACGAATTTAAGCATTCTAATACATGTTTCTTAACCAGAACTTCACGTAGAACACGATTCGCGCAACGAAAATTACTGAAACCAACTCCTAACGGAGATATTAACATTTTTATTTCACATTGGTTACGAGGAATTTGAACTGCCCGCTCACAAGAAACTCAAAGCTCTACGTGAGTCAAATCGCGCGCTACAACTGTTTCAGCAAGCTTCTCAATCGAGCAATGTTCATTTCCCACCATGCGTTTTCAAACTATGAGTAATTTGCTATAGCTGAGCCAAAGCGTCTAGACTGAGGTTGCCAGATTTTTTTATTGCAAAGACGTTCATGATACCGTTTAGCGCGCGATGTGAATCACGTAGAGCATTGAGTTTTCATGAGCGGGTGGTTTGAATTCACGCACCATGAATTATTAGATATCTTCGGAAGGAGTTGATTTCGATTATTTTCGTTGTGCGCATCGTGTTCTACGTGAAATTTTGGTGGAGAAACATGTATCAGAATGCTGAAATTCGTACCTTGTCTAGTGGTCCATTGTGAATATTATTTTCCAAAATTTTCAGACACTTTTTGTGCAATTTAATCTAAAATATCCAACAATTTCAAAGAGAAATTCGCATGAATTTCGTCAAGAATACGTGTTTTTTGGAGGGTGATTTGGCAACTCACGAATGTTCGTTCATACGGCGTTCTTCCTTAGCACGACAGTGTGAGTCGAAGCGATGAGCAAGAGGCAACGAGGCGCTAACAGCCAATCCTGGGCCGCGGATAAAGGCGACGACGCGACGAGCTTTGCCGTGCTCAGGGAAAACGCCGTATGAGCCTTTGTGCGTTGCCAAATTTATTTCTATAAAATAAAAATTTTCAAGAAAACTTGCGAAAATTTTCCGTCCAATTTTTCAGAGAATTTTCTTCGCAATGTGATCTTATGCCCCAGAAGATTTCAAGTAGAAATATTCATTATATTAATGAAGCGAATTTTCGCGATCGAATATCATTCACCGTTGAATGATATTCGACGATTGTGCATTTTTTTTTCAATGATATTCGACTTCTTCGTTGGTCTCACCAGAGACCGTTGAAATCCATCAATTTGAAATTTCGAATTCACCTCGGGACTTGAATTCGATTTTTGAATTGATGCAATCGATGTCAGAAACTTCATCTCTCACCATAATTTTTGTTCTGTCATCTCTTTCTGTTGTTGTGTTTCGTCGATTCAAGTCTGGTGTTTTCGCAATTTCTGTGTTTTAGTGTTTCGTGTTTTCTTATTTTCTTCTTAATTTCATTTAGGAGAAATATCTGAGCTCTGATTGGCTCCTGACATCACCGATCATCGGCATCACTCAGCACTGATCAATTTGTTGGATGAATGACATTCGATCGCAAAAATTCGCTTTTCGTCTCGAAAATTAATATTTTCGGAGGGGAAATTTGGCAACTCTCGGATGTTGACACGGCGTTTCTCCTGAGCACGGCAGCGCTGGACGTTGCACGTTGCACGCACCGTTATGGAAAAACTTGTTGGCAGAGTCGAATGCTTGATGTTACCGGAATGAGCCCGAAGCCCGGCTCGTAATTAGCGTTGAATCCAACGTGTACAGGCACCGACGCGGTGCGCGGTGCCCGCGCGCCACCGTCCACCAAGCAACCGTGGTGCTGGTGAGTGGTGTCCGCTCCCAGGTTCATTCCGATTTTGATTTATACGGCCCGCGCTCCCGCACAGTGGATCGAGTCAATAGGAGAGCTCGGACAAAATTTGGAAACTTTAAACGCTCATAACTCCGTTTATACAAATTCTAAGGTTCTACAAGTGGTTTCATTGGTTTTCTCGTGAAATTTTCTTCTCGAGGCGCTCCTTGACTTTTAAAATGTGACGGAATGATCATTGAAATTTGCAGTTTCAGTCGAAAATTTCATGTCCGACCTCTCTAATTGACTCGATCCACTGTGCGCCGCTGCCGCTGTTCCCTTCCTGGTGCCGCTACCTCGCGCTATCTTGCCGCAGGTTCGCGCACCCGCCTCCGAGATCCTACGCCCACCAGCAGGCTGATTTTTGACCAGAGACAAGAGACCCTCCACTGGCCTCCTAGCGACAGGTGGAAGCTTTTACTTTCGGGGTTTCAACAATTCCTTATGGACAATTATGAGCGAGCAACAGTCATCACCCTATTTTCGGCTGTTGACTTACCTACATGGTCGATGATGAGCTTCGGATGACGTCATAAGCCAAACAACTTTCCCAAACGTCGGCCATTTTCGGCTTGTTTGCGAAACGAAACTGCCAACACGTTGTTGAACATCAACCATGTAGGTAAGTCAACAGTAGAATGCTGAAGTCCCGAAAGTAAAAGCTTCCACCATGGCCAAGTTACTAGTGGAGGGTCTCTTGTCTCTGTTTTTGACATTGATAGACTAAGCTGTAGACAAAGCAGAAAAAAGGGATATGGAGGGATCCTATTCGTGGAAGTTGCAATAGCCAAAGTAGGTAGGTAATAGACTAACTATAACAGCGACCCACGAGAGAACCAACAGTTAGTCCATCGTTTTCTCCCTCAGTCTTTAGGAACCACCCTTTCAACCAATAGGATCGCTTCATACTCCTTACGTCTTCTTTGTCTATAGCTTTGTCTATCAATTTCAATAATCAGCCTGCAGGGGCTGACTGTCGGAAACGATAGTCAAAGCTGTAGACTAATGAGACGGAGGATAAATGTACAGGGTTGCGACAGTCAGGGAAAACCGAGAATTGTCAGGGGATTTTACAAAGTCAGGGAAAAATCGTCAAATCGCCTTCATTTGCTCTCTCGAGTGGGTTTGACGTTTCGAACATCAAATTTTGCCTGAAAACTATTTCTAACTATGTCTTTTGAAAAACTTGGCATTTGTTCACGTTAGTGAATTTCACCAATTTGAGTCAGGGAATATAATTTTTCAAATTCTGTGGCAACCCTGAATGAAGCGATCCTGTTGCTTGAAACGGGTGGTTGTCGGGGAAAATGATGGACTAACTATAGAGTCTCATAGTAGTTGCCGTTGGCTAGTTTAATACTCACCACCTTTGAGGATAGCAGCAGTTAATAACCTTCAATGGTTTGCAACAACCCTTCCTTCCTATCTAGAGCCGCCGGTGTTTTTTTTTTTTTTTTTTTTTTTTTTTTTTTTTTTTTTTTTTTTTTTTTTTCTGGTCCATGGGACCCCTGACAAAATGACTTAATCTACTAAAGTACAAGTGGAATGCCTCCTAATAATGTCATTACATCGTATTGGTCTCACCTTTAAGGTCTATTTTCCTACAATTTTCCGCGTCTGAAAGAAAGTATGAAAATATCGCGAACTCAGTTCTTTGACCTCTCTGAAATGAAGTAATAATATTTTGCGTGCAAATTCTCCATTCATGGCCGGATTCACCTACTTGCCGCCCATGGGCCGCCTATATTTTGCCGCCTTCTTATTCTCATTCGTTTTGAAACTCGATAAAAACCATCAAATGAACGTGCCAGCGGGGGAGAGGTGCATAAGACGCATTTACTCGTGTTGAACACATTTTTTGGGAAAGCCCTGTCAACACTACTAGCAAAAGTTCACGAAACTTTGCGCGAAAGTTAAGTTCCGTAAACCTATCTCCGTGTGGACAAGGCCTTCCATTCATAAGAAATGAACGAAAATATCATGAAAGAACAAACATAAATGCGGTTCAATGATTTTAACTTCCGCCACCGCGCCGCGCAGACCGCACCGTGTTGGACGCAATGCGTGAAGTATTCACGCAGTCTTGTAGGCGCTATGCGTTTTACGCTGACCGCACTGTTTGGCGCAATGCGTGAAGTATTCATGCATTCTTGTAGGCGCTATCCGTTTCACGCTGACCGCAGTGACCGCACTGTGTTTGATGCAAGGCGTGAAGTATTCGTGCAGTCTTGTAGGCGCTAATATGTGTTACATGCCGATCGCCGCGCCAAGGGCTTCTCATTTTCATCTCAAGTCCTCGTTATCATTTCTCTCTAAGTTGCGCCGTTCTAGGCCAAATTGCGTGTTTGGTTTCTCTCGTAACTATACTTTTTGAGGGTACTGTCTCTTGTATCACTAAGAGACGACAAAATTAGAAATTACTATACTCTCAGGAAATGAGAGATTTTGTCGCCTCTTCTCGTTTGTAATTTTGTTTTTATAAATCCGATTTGTTTTAATATAAATTCTCCTCCAGATTCGAATTTCATTGATGGGCGACTTCATCTCTGAGAATGGATGCGGGCGGATACTGCCGTGCTAAGAAAGAACGCCGTATGAACATTCGAGAGTTGCCAAATCTCCTACTATAAAATTTTTATTTTTGAGGAAAATTGTAAATATTTTTCCTCAAAATTTTCAGACACTTTAGATAAAATTACAAACAAAATTATCTGAGAAATCGGTAGAAGAATATCCAAAAATCTTCTCGTAAAGTGAGTGTGTGCCCGAGGAAATTTGGCAACGCCTCAAGGTTTATACGGCGTTTTTCCTTAGCACGGCAGGATAGGTGAGAGAATCGGCAACGAGGTTGCGGTCTTGAATTGATTGTGCAAACGGAATGAAAGAACGGATCAAAGCCAGCCCGCTAATGTTGCGGCGCTGCCGATGCCTGGACGGCTTCAATTTTTAAGTCCTGCCCCGGTGAGAGTGGGCATTTAAGCCTGAATCGCGGCACCGATGTGACACGCTTGCCCTCGACAGCTCGCGCGGAGGCTGGCTGCGCTGCCGCCGCTTCCAACGGATGACGTATCATCAGGCCAGGTTGTCTTATCTTAAGCGAATTTTCCTGATCGAATATCATTCATCAAACGAATTGATCAGTCCTGAGTGATGCCGATGATCGGTGAAAACAGGAGCCAGTCAGAGTTCACATATTTTTTTAAATGAAATTAAGAAGAAAATACGGAACACTAAAACGTAGCCAATTGCAAAAACAACTGACTTGAATTGATGAAACACACAAACAGAAAGAAATGACGAAACTAAAATTCTCGTGAAGGATAAAGTTTCTGGCGTCGATTGCATTGCACTTAAGAAACCAAGGATATCCTCGTACTCAGTTTTCCTAGCAGTATCATTTTAAAGATGAAATTTACAAAATTTCAGACACCTGCAAATTCTCTATTTTTAATAACTTACTCCCCTATTCGATCTTCTCTAATGTGGAACCTTTTTATGTTTCAGTAATAAGTGCCTTAATGAGAAGCGGCGCAGAGAGCAAGAGAATATTTATATCGAGGAACTGGCCGAGTTGATTCATGCTCTCCCGGACATGAGCTCGCTTGCTGTCAACAAACCTGATAAGTGTGCTATCCTCCAGGAGACTGTCAATCAGGTACGTATCATATTTTCTGATTGATGTCCAGATATTCGGAGTTCATCGTGTGCGCCGAAATATTCTTTCTCATTTGAGGGGCTTGGAAGAGAGAATGGGGAGCACAAGTGCAGTTTTTGAAAAAATTGAGTTATTAATGAGTTCAACTAAGACTGGTCTTAAAATATATTTTCGGAAATCGACTCCCGAATTCCGATTATAAGCTTCAAAAAAGAGTTCGAACTTTCTTTCCTCCGTAAGGCCTCATGTAAATTTGAAACTTTAAACCCGTATTTCTCGAAATAGCAAAAACTGCACTTTTGCGCCTTGTCCTCCAAGTCCTTCATTTCTACATTATTACTTGTGGACCTGTGAGTGAAACAGGAAAAGGCTGTACAAACAGCAGCTTGATAAAAGATTTCAACGCTTGGTTTTGATTGATCCCTCTCTACCCTGAATGTAGAAGTTGATCAACCACGAGAAAAATGTTATCAATGAAGCAGTTGAGTGAGATGATTGTATTTGAATGAGTCGTGATTCAATAATAAACTGTAGATTTTACTGCTACAATTATGAATTAGGATCGTTTTTCAACGAGTTACTTACCTTACTAGTTTTTTTTTTTTTTTTTTTTTTTTGCTCCATTTTATTTTAAGATCAACGAGTAAGCCTTGTTATAATTGAGAGTACAAATTTAATCTATATCGTTTCCTGGTATACACGTGAAACAAAATCGAGACTTCCATCTTTAAACATATGCAACTTACAGAGAAGGAAAGAATTTGGATAAACTCTAACAAAACATAATCAAACTACGGAAAAACTAAATAAAAAACAATAATTAAACTACCGAAAGTATTATTGAATAGTATGTTGGAGTTTTTTTGCCAACGTGCGTTAAAAATTCAGCATAAAGCTGAAAATCTCAATACAGAGCACGTTGAGCAAATAACTCCAACCTACTGTCTTACGACTCGTGCGCCCACTGCAATCAGTTCAAGTGGTATCATTGAAGTTGGAATTTTAATGACGGTTCAGTATCTAGTCAGTTTACCTTCCTGTACTGTTTTTATCAAAAACTGAAATCCTGAAATTGAAATGAAAAAAAGCTATCAAATCGCACAGAGGTGATTCTCAAGCTCAGGAATGAAACAACTCAAAATATTTCTTTTAAAGGAACTTAATCGCTTTAAAATTAGCTTGTTGTCAATAGAGAATTTGCAGGTGTCTGAAATTTCATGTTTAGGTGAAAACTACTGAGTGAACTGAACACGAAGATACCCTTGGTTCATGAATCGAATAATGATTGGAGAAGATATGACAAAATGATCTAATCTGCCAAAATACATGTGTTTAAATGGGAAATGCTGCCAGATGATGTCTCTAGGCGGTGCATTTTCTCACTTTTGAATCTATTTTTCTACTATTTTGCATATCAGAGAAAAATTATAGAAAATTCTGTGAAATCAGCTCTTTAAGCACTTTCAGATGAAGCAATAAAACATTTGCATGCAAATTTTCCATTGTTATATGTAGTGTAGGTACTGATACTAGGTAGGTACTTTATATCTAGTGTAAGGTTACATTTTGTGTTGTTTTTTCAGATCCGGCACATTAAACAACAGGAGGCATCTGGAAGCAGTGATGCTGTGCAGCAAGGGGAGGTATCTTCATCGAAACCAACGCTATTAGCTAACAATATATTTGGGCCTCTCCTTCTGGAAGCTCTCGAGGGGTTTTATTTTATCGTCAACCAAGACGGCAAAATAGAGTGCGTCTCAGAAAACGTTCACCAGTTCATCCGATTTACCCGCGACGAACTCATCGGCAAGTCAATCTACAATTTCATTCACCTCGGCGATCATGCCAGATTCTCCTCTTGCCTCTTGCCCATGTCGGTCGGTTGGTCTCCCTTAGACCGATCCTCAGTTGACCCATTAACAACCCGTAAAAAAATTTTCAACTGCCGTCTACTCATCGGTCCGTCCGCTGGTCGAGAAGAAACGATGGAAGAGAAGCAACAAAGGATAGAAAAATATGAAACCATGCAGGTTAGTATTTTGCTTCTGAACCTCATAATTCATTCATAGATCAATGTTGTGATCAAAGATGTTTGCACCAACCACTCATGCAGGCCTCACTTATACTTTATTATTCAAAACAAATTGAGTTTGCAGGGACATCACCAGTGAGCAAATTATTGAAGAAAGTGGCTTTTTTACCACTGATGTTCTTCTTCATTAATGGCACTCACAGCAGCAAGAATGCATTTGAAATCTAAGTAAATAGCCGTAAAAAATAATATCTAGTTTTATTCAGAGGTCCTTAGGATCAAGCTAAATATAATTTTTGTAGGTATAGACTTTTGTCTGCACACATTTTGCAAAGTTTAAGTAGCAGACAAAACTAGACTGTCTTGAGTTCTTGTTAAAATACTCAAAAGGGTATCCTTGTCGGGCTACCTGTTGCACGGTGACGATCTTCTCATTTACAGCATTTTTGGTTTGTTTATGTGATGCTCCCAGTCGCATTCCTGTCACTGTCAAAAACATTTTATCAGGACTTGTCTCCGCCTATCTCATTGTCAGTCTTTTGACAAAGTTGTGCAGGTTTTAAAGAAGGAAAACCCATACAATCTTGTGTAGGCCTATTTTTAAGAAATACCAAAATTGTTTCAAAATAGCACCACTAGTTAAGTCCCTACATTGCAATAGACACAGGGCATTAAGGAAGATGAGTGTTGAAATCAGAAACCTTGCATATCAGTGACTAATTATGTCAGTATATTCTCATCCTTGCCACTCTTGCAAGTGAATATGTATGCTGTCACATATGCTGTGTAATCTTTGAAATGAAAAAAAAAAAAAAAAAAACACACACATTGAAATGATTTACCATGATTCGGTGCTCCTTTTTTCAGATCTCATCAGCTCAAGTACCTTACCCTGGAGAAAAGAGCAATGGTGATACCAGTACTAGTAGTGGCGGTGAAGTAAGCTCTGAATGTGCAGATGTCGGCCCATGCTTACTGTGTGTTGCACGACGCATCCCGCCTAATGAAAAACCAATGGGTACTCCAACGGAACAGTTCACTATGAAACTAGACCCCAGTGGTAAAATAGTTGGTGTTGACACGTCATGTGTATCATCGACATATTCCCAGTATTTAAATAAGGTAAGCGTTATACTTTCTTCAAACTTATTTCTTATGATATTTTACAATAAAATCAATCATCAGCTTTAAAACCATAGTATAAGTGTTTATGAATCTAAGAACATGTTTTGTGTTGAATCCTTCTTAACTTTTGGAAGTGTAAAAGGAATTACTGCTGAATAGCTATCAAAGGTGTAGCCTGTGTATGTGATCATTTTCGAAACCGTCCACAAGACTTGTGAAGGCCAGTATATTCAGAAAATCTCTCTAAAGTCCTGTTCCTAAGAAATCGATTTAAAGAATTTTTCCAGCAATTTCATATGCATTTACAACTACAGCAATACCGCAATTATTTTGTTTGTCATGTTTTTATGCATATTCGATTATCCAGCATTTTTGTCATCTGGTATGGGGATTGGATAATCGAGGTGTTCCCGCAATTGAGAAGCGTCATCTGAAGTGTTACATTTAAAGCTAATTATTTTTGGAGAGTTTTGTCTCTCATATTTCTTGATGACCATCCATTTCAATCAGGGCGATGAAGATTTTAATCATCCTCTGGCAAGCTATAAATTTTAATATTATGAAGTAAATTAATTTGGCTTGGCTAGATGGAATTTTAACAACCTCTAACATGTCTGTTCTACTCTGTTCCTCCAGGATTTAACGGGGCGATTAGTGCAAGAACTTTGCCATGACCAAGATTTCATAAAACTAGATTCTCATTTAAAAGAAACCCTAACCACAGGATGTTGTATGAGTGCAATTTATAGGTTGCGCCTTGCCGCCGAAAAGTATGTTCACGTTCAAACAAAGTCGAAATATTTCAAAGCCACTGGAATTGATCCCGACTTTATAATGGCAACTCATTCTATAATTAGGTAAGTCAAAAACTTCTTACAGTCTTATTCTATTTATTTATCTTAATTTATATAATTAGCTAAGTGATGCTCGCAATCAAAGAGCATGCTATCAAGTAAAAAACAATAAGTTTAAGAAGGTATCATATCGCCACCTTCTTGCCAAAGTATCACAAGCGTCATTAGTGCTCAGGCATTAATTGTCCAACTTCTCGAATTTGGTTAATTTCTTACACAACAACAAATGAATAGAATCACTTGTAAATCAGGCAGATTAGACACTTGTGATGAGGCAGATAAGGTCGCAATTATAAGTTCATGCTGTAGCTTAGTCCCTAACGCAGTGTTCGAAACTCACAGGTGCCAAATGCGCCTGTAAAATAGGTCATGGCGCCTAAAAAATGAAGGCTCTGCTCCAACGTGGCCCCTCAAAAGTGCCCCCTCCCAAAAAACAAATCCTAATTTTTCTGTTTGTTGATTTTTCGAAAGTAACAAGTTACAGCTACTAGTTCTGTAACTAAAACATCTTGCGTCCAACTTTTCACAAATAGTGCCGTGATATATAGGCTAAAAGTCAATTTGGCCCCCAAAAAATCTTCAATGGCCTCTAAAAGTTGAGCTTGGTGGGCCACATGGCTCCATTACTGTATTGTCAAAATCAACTTTGATCCTCAGCTAAAGACTATAATAGAGGCTTTTTTATCACAAGGTTCCATTTCAACCATTTTTCAATCAAATGCCAATGGTTCCTGAAAAAAGCAATTTTTGGGAAGCTCTCTATGTACCCGTCCTTTAAGTAACGTAATTCTTACTATTTCCTCACTGATGAAAGTAATTCATTTTTTTGTATTTTTCACAGTGATAATGATGTGCCAGCAACGTCAGATAGTTCGATATCTGGACCAAGTTTGAGTACAAGCTCTGTAGGAGGTCCATTAATGCCTATTGTCAATGGAAATTTACAAGGACCACCGAATTCTCGAAGGAGCACAAATGAATCCTGTAATACCATTACGCTTAACTCTAACTCAGCTTACCATACCTTTACTCTCAATAATGACATTAGTATGTCTGATTTGAATGATCTATTTCCTACGTCTACGTGTAGTTGGGATCTAAATATGCCGAGCAACGAAGAGCGGCCTAGTTGGGACGGGCCAGAGTCCAGGCAGTCGCTTACACCAGCCCAAAGTCCACTAAACCCATACTCTCAGGCGACACAACCTAGCCCAGCGACGAATCCACCCACTACCCCATTTTCAAACTCCTTTGTGTTCAGTCCGCTTCCAGTTCTGGATGAACCAAAAGAGCAAAAAGAGCCGTTAGAAAGTGCATCAGAAAACGGGGAATCAGCAAGGTTGCGGAATTTGTTGACGAACAAAAGAAGCTCTACTGATAGTGAGGATAGTCAAGCTGCTGGTAGAAATAAAGACCGGATCTTGAAGAAACTTTTGGATCAAGAAAAGGAGGAAGGCTCAGAAAATATTAGTGTGAAAATTGAAGAAGGGATGAGTGGTTTGGTGAGGAGGCATAGCATGGGTACACCACATACTACCCCTACGCACCCTCCACCTGATACGCCGCCTGCTCAACAGAACAAACCATCATCTGGAAATAACAATATGTTATTACAAGTAAGTGCTAGCCCTATATCTTTGCTATATTGTCTGTAAAATGGGTCATTCCACGTCAACTGTGCCAGGCTCGGAACCCGACCCCCTCCGATTTGGCTGAAAATTGGTATACGGGGTCTTTACATCATTATAAGAAACTAATTTGAAGGGTTTTCCCATCCGACGCCCCGTTCGCGAGATATCGACCCCCAAAGATGGGGTGAATTTTAGCGATATTCAAAAAAGCCCGTTTTAGCGATTCTCATTTTCTCGACTTCCCTCTCTTTGACTCTCCATAGCAAGACTCTGTATCAATCCATCATACTTTGAAAGAGTGTTTCTAGACCAGTTTTTCATGTAGATTTTGAATATGCCATCGAAATTTAGCTAAAAATTATTTAAATGGCCGTAATTTAGGATTTTTTAAAATTTACTATTTTTTCGCCATTCAATGTTCAAACTGAATTATCTAAAAAACAGTCGCTCCGATTTTCGATTTTTTTTTGTACTTCAAGTTTAAGATATATACTTTTGGTTGATATACTTTTTTCAATTGCTATCGGACGGTTAAGGGCATAAAAAAAATTCAAATAGGCCAAGAAAGGTCAAAAATTGGTAAAAAGACGATTTTTTACATTTTAATCCAAATATTTCGATAATGAACACTTCAATTAACTATGTTTTCCCCCAGTTTACCCTCTAAGATGTATAAAATCAGACTATCGACACTTTCCATACATTTACCGATCGATTAAGGCCTGATGGAAACCACCCTGTTGCAAATGTAACCAGAAGTAAGTCTGTCTACATTCAATAAACTATCGGTACTGTAAGGTAAAATTATTACATTGCCACTAAATCAGTTGATTCTCCCAGAATCTGGATCTATTTACTTTCAAGGATAGAAGAAATGGTAATTTAAAAAAAGGTATACAAATACCAATTGTCACCTTCAATATTTTTTTTTGTCCTTTCCTTCATGTCACGTATGAAACAATTATTATGAAAACGCTCAATATGAAATATTTTTCAGCTGCTCAATGAACGTAAGGATGATGATGATGTTGAGGCAAGAGCGGGGCTCAAGAAGCAAAACGAATTGCTCCAACATCTCTTCAAGGAAGAAGATTCGTCTAAACATAATTCTACAGATGTAAGTAACTATAATTTTTCTTTTATCTATTTTCTCCTAATTTTTCATATAACTCATTCTCCTTTTGAAGATTGTGCTTGATGAGATTGCTCCTTCCAGTTCTAACATAATTAAAATATTTGTGCCCATCAAAATTTCTTAGGTAATGTTCAGTTATTCCTGGTTGTATCCTACTAGGAATAGGTAGATAGTAGGAATAGGTGAAAAGAAAAATAAACAACCAGCAATGAATGAAAAAGAAAAAAAAGAAAAAGAAAAAGGAGAGAAGAACAAGGATCAAAACAAGCATAATAAATAATATAGATCACTAAAAAGAACGAATTAAATGGTATAACAGAGACATTTTCGAAACTATATTTCAAAACGCCATTTTGAAACACAGAATTCAATTCTCTCATCATTAGATTACTCATTTGGAGATTTCACTGTATTCTCTAATATTATGCGTGAACTTTTGTACAGGATAATCTTAACCGAGGGCAATCGCGGAAAAGGCCGAGTGAAGAAGGGGAAGATACAGGAGGTCAGAGTGCGAAGAAAGTAAGCAATCCAATCAGTAATCCAGTCAGTATTTTAGAAACTCTTCCGCCCCCACCGCCTCCGGGTTCTAGTGCATCTCAACAACCAAACAGCAAGCTCTGGGAAAGAAACAAAATGTTGGCATCTCTCCTTGCAGAAAAACCGAACACACCTACACACATTCCGCCAATACCCCCGTCAGTCATCTCTGCCACGCCTCAGGATAATATACCTCGTGTCAATAAAGTGCCTGCTGGTGAGTTAGAAGAGCAATTATTATTTTTTCTCTTTAATTTCTGTGGAAGGATATGGAGTCACCTTTTACTGGTAATTTCTCTTGAGAATCAACAAATTTACTTCAACTTTTGCCAACTGGTTTTTTGGTTATTTTTTCAAAACCTCCTTTAATTTTTTTAAGAGTTGGGCCGGGTATCCGGCGATTAGCCGGCCGGATTCCGGATATCCGCCTCCGGCCAGATAATTGCGATATCCGGTTTTTGGACCTGCCGGATAGTGCTTCTACGGCCGTGAAAATTTCGAGAAATTTTTGGTGTTATATTGGTATTTTTCGACGCACTTTCAGTAGTCATGGTAATTGTTCAACTTTTCGAAACTTGTAATCATTGGAATTAAGGACATTTCCCGCACATTTACACGATTGCAACGTGACCCTTAATTCCGAAAGTCCGCGTGTTTCACTTTCAAAGACGATGATGCAGGTGGAAGGTAAAAAAAAACAATGCCACCAACATGTGCATAAGGTCCCTGTTGGTAACGTTTTTAGTCCAAGTGCAACTCCGCAATTATTGTAATGTCGCAGTCCGCAGCTTCTTATTGCAGCGTCAAAGCGCTGTTTTCCACTTTTGTTTTGTTTAGGTATGATAATATCTCTCTTTCTGCACATCAGATTCATCTGGCCCATCACATTATGAAGCCAATGAAAGCCATGCTGCTTATCTGCCTGGTCTTTTTTTTTTTAGTATTCGTCTCAGCGTATCATTGAAAAATATGGAGGTGGCCGGAGCGAAGGTACATACATTGTGGATGACGGTCTTGATGGTGTGATACACAATGTGCCTCTTGACCAAAGCTCGAAAGTGGGAGATTTCTTTCGCGCGAAATCAGGAGATTTTTCTCGCTCGAGATCGGGAAATTTTTCTCGTGCAAAATCGGAAGATTTTTCTCGTGCAAAATCGGAAGATTTTTCTCGTGTCTAAAAGCACTATCCGGATCCAGTATTATCCGGTTCTGGCTGAATACCTTGGCAAATTATCCGAGCCGGATACAAAAAATCTATATCCGTATCTGGATCCGGTGACGAGGAAAATCATTTTGGCCCAACTCTACTTTTTTTTACCATAGAGACGCTGAATATTTTCAATCCCCATATTTTTAGGTATTTCTACTTTCAATATACTGGATAACACTCTACTATTTACTTCATTCTTTAGCTGTGGAAATTCTTGAAAGTTGGTAACACTGGGGGTGGCTCTATTAATGTAATTAACACAATTTATACTAATGAACTTCAGTAGAGGCAGAGGCTGCCTCAATAAGAATCAAATTCTTATAGCAATAACAAGTTATGTATATCCTGGAGTTTGAAGGTGGAAAAATAGTTTTGCTTGCAGAAAATGTGACGTTACAGGGTTACCGGTGGTCTGAAAAACCTGGAAAGTCACAAAAAGCAAGGGAGTATTTAGCGACCCAGGGAATTCACAGGAATTCCTGCGAATAATCAGTAAATTTGTCTAGTAGGATGGAGGCTCAGTAAATTCAGCTGGTGCCATTCAAAACAAAGCAAGCAGCTTGATATTGTCTTTTTCTAAGCCTCTTTCTTTATAATTTGATTCTTCAGAGGTGGAAATTTTGCAAGTGAAAACAATAGCCAGCGCAATTAAAAGAAAAGAATTCTAAGCGGAATTTTGTTCCAAGGTCTCGAAAAGTCAGGGAATTTGGAAATTTTGAAGTCTGGGAGAATAAAGAAAAGTTATGGGAAGTCTAAGAATTGGGAAATGGAGAAATCATGGAAACTCTGCACTCTTCAGTTCAATTCCTCAACAGAGGCATGAATATATCAAAGGAGATTTGTGATGAATATTTAAAATTTATCTATAACCCTGTTATCATTGTACCACTATGTTGCTGCCTCTCCTTTTTTCACATCGAATAAAATTAGTAGTACAACTTCTTCCATTAGTTTCTGTAATTTTTAAGGCAAATTTTTCCACAGTCCATCTGCAAATTTCTGGAAGCTATTAGTAATTTCATTTCAATCTTTGTGCATTTTAGCATGGTCTGGAGGTAGCTTACAGCGGCAAAATGCTCACGGAGGGCTCAGAAACGGTCCAAGACCGGGGACTGCACCTACACGACCTCAACAACCTCAACAGCATAATTATATGATAGAAAATGATCAGCAGCCACCGCGCCAGTGGGACAACAGCAATGGCCCCTCATGGGACTCACACCAATTGTCTGATCCTGTGTTGTCCGATATTTTGGATCAAGTGATAGATATTGTTCCTGATGCCATTATAACTGGTAACTAACTTGCTTTCCGTTCTTTTATTAAATTATATTTTCAAAGTCATATCGCCAAACGGGTGCATCTCAATCGCCATGCGAGCCGTAAGGTTCATATAACTCCTTACTTTCCGGGACTACTGTGGATATAAAGATACGCCCTTATGTCGAAGGAGCGACAAATTCCATTCATGCTTTTTTTCAATGCACCACTAGACTGAGTAAGAAACTAAGCACTACAACACATGTTTCCTCATCAAAATTTCATTGAACATATCAAAAATTCTGCAATTAAATGAGAAATAAACGTTTCTAGTTTGCATTTTAAACAGTCAATTCCAATTTGCCGTTCGGAAAGTAATCATATTCAAAGGTGCTTTGAAATCAACCTATAACACATGAAACAAATTACTAGGGCTTGTTTTCATATACATTGTCCTGGGCTCTTGACCCTCTGATACAAGGTACCTTTAATCTTGTTAGAGAAAAGTTGACACACAGGAAAATTCTTGCATGGTGAAGTATTTCAAAATTAGTTTAATGCTAGATATGACTCGAGTAGACTGCTTTTTGTAAGCAGGAAATGTGAATTAACCCAGACAAAACAGCTGTTTTCTAACTTACCTGTTCAAGTTTTCATGCGTCCATTGTCTTCTGCGTCAAGTTTTGATTAGTAAACATGAGTCAAAGTGCTGAATTTTGTACTCTATCCATTGGTTCATTCTTGTATCATTCAGGGTAATTGTATTAAACAACAACAATGGTACAACAATTTGTATTAATTAACAAACAATGGTGTTCATTAGTATTCCCAGAATTTTATTGTCACCGCCTGTGTTTTGGATTAATCTACAAGTGATGATGAATTACATTTTTGCATGTATCCTGAGTGTTGGAGTAGCTATTCTAAATTTAACTGTTTCAACTTCTTTTTACTCGAAAGTCCTAAGACTCATGCTCATCATCAATAGGAATAATGCCTAAAGTACTTGCTGTAAATTTCTTTTTCCCAATCTTCATGAGCTACTTTTTCAATATTTTTCTATTTTTTTTTTCCAGATTCCTCTGCAATTATGAACTTATTAGATGTGATAGAATCACCAAACTCTCTAGGATACCAGTTTAATACTCCCAACGATAAAACAGCTGCCATTGATGCAATTCAAAAGTCTCTCATGCTTTGTGAAAGCACCATAAAAAATTCCTCCTATAATAATGTAAGTATTCAGTGATCATGCGGGGCATCCGTAAAGTACATATTCATTTTTTTTGTCAAAAATAATAATGATAAATAGAAACAGTGCGCCTCTCTCTTGCTGCTGGTTGTTCTTAATATTCTCATTCTGTGACACTTGTAATATACCTGGGATCGTAGAAGACAAAATGCTTAAAACAAGTTTATCAGTGAAAATGATGCTCCAAAAAAGCTGCACATAATCGATTTTCAGCCCCGAAGTCAGGAGTAGCAGCATTTACACTTCATATGATTTCATTTCAGCTCCATAATTCTTAATTTTGCGCCAAATATTTTTCAAAATCATCGTCAATCACTGAACTCTTTTGCACTTCTGTTTTCTGTCACACCATACCACTGTCCGTCGATCATTGTCTTGGCTCTCTCTTTCAATGTTTGCAACACCAAGTTTGCATCCAAAACACCCTTTTGTCAGCGATTAATTTCTTAATAGACAGTAATTTAATTACATTCATTCTTTTAAATTTTTTCTCCAGCAATTATCTGCTGGTCAAAACTCGATACAATCTGCTCAAGCACAACAACATCAGCAACAACAACATCAGCAGCAGCAGCAACAACAGCAGCAGCAGCAACAACAACAGCAGCAGCAACAACAGCAGCAACAACAACAACAAAACTACCCGCCTCCACCTGTCTACCAGCAGCGGCCAAGGTTTATATCGCAAGCTCCCCTTGGTCAACGCCCACCCTTTACGGGTGCAAATTCTCATCTAGCTCAGGTAGGAATCATTTTTTTCTGACAGTTATCTCTTTTTTTTCACGTATGTTTTTCCCTGTATGATAAAATAACCAATATCTCACATTGTCTCCAAGTATTTTTTAGGATTATCTGATCAAGGTTTGCTTGTGTCAACATTGGTTCATCTTCTAATTTGTAGAACATTAAAGTGATCAAATTCTTATTTTACCATTTCTGTTTTTGTAGTTTTTTGTTGTTTAAGTTGCACCTTGTAGTAGCTTATGCAAGTAAAAAAAGAATTTTTTCTATTATTTATGACAACTTAAGCACTGGGTACAGAAAGGGCACTTCTCGGTGAGGGTGACTCAGAATCTCTTCCAACATTCCATGTTGATCAAGGCAACTATATGTAAATCGTTGAAACTTTCACTGAGTAATCTTTAAGATTTTACAACGCTGAGGACAAAAAAATTCACTGAATAATTTTCTCTCTAAAACAGATTAGCAGTAGAAATTTTGAAACACCAAAACCTAGAAGTGCTCTTTTTGCACTCAACGCCTCAATTGTATTAAAAACTTATTTCAGCAACTTATGCACATCTTAATTTACTTGCGTAACTGGAAGACATTTTTTCATCCAAAAAGTTCCATGTGAGATCTTTTATTAATTTTACAATCATATATTTTCTCTTTTCAGCAACAATTAGTGATACAACAGAGGTCAAAATTGCTGCAGCAGCAGCAACAACAACAGCAAAAACAACGTCTTCTGCAACAGCAGCAGCAGCAGTCATTATTGATCCCAAGCAATGCAGCAGCTACTCCTCAGGAATTACAAAATATTGATTCTCTCATGAATAACTCTGTTGCACCTAATGTATCGCTTCAGGTAAAGTCGGTGCACCTTTATGGCGCCTCATTTTAGCATAATATTTTTAAAAAAAAATCTGGTGAGATTCTATCTCTAACTATTTTCTGAATTTTTTAGAAAAAAGTTCGTTAATTGTTCCAAGAATTCTTAAACACATCAATGAAAAATATGATTAATATTAAAAAATTCAACACAATCTAAAGACGAAAAAAATAAATCCTGTACATTACAGTTGAAAAAAAGATATTTTTCTTTGGCGTCTCTCATTGTTTAGTTGGAGTTTAAACCTATCGGTACTTAGTGAGCTGTGGGTGCCTTTTTTTTCCTCCCGCACAAATGGAATTTCACAGCAACTTCACTAAAATGAAAGTGTAAAACATTTGAATCAATTGATTCTATGTCATGACGTCCTCATTTTATCTTTTATACAGCGATCGTCCAGTGTACCTGACTCTCAGCTGTCTCCAAGTAGTTACGGTAATGCGTTACTCAACAGCGCACCTTCCCAGATCTCTCCCTCTCAAAGGGCCCCTCCTTATTCACCTCTTTCTCACCAGCAACAAACCTTTTCACCTGTCAAGTAAGTCTTATAAATCTTGATCTAATTTTTGCCAGGGTTGGGTTTTTTTTGCAACTTTAAGGTAAATGTTTGAATTGTGTTATGATTAATTTTAAATCATTAATTAATAATCGATTCATCCTTTCAAATGTTAGCAGTGTTGCCTGTGTTAACTCAAAGGCCCTCTCATCAGGATTAAGTGGTTAGCATAGGGCTGTGCGAATATTTGCAAATCGGGAATATTTGAGCCGTCACGAATAGTGAATTTTCGAACCGACATTTTTAAATATTCACGCTGTCAGGAATAACGAATTTTCGAATACTCGCGCCATCCAAAATAACAAATTTCCCAGTGGCAATCATGAAACGTTACGAGAACCTGCGCAAGGCTTCCATCCAAGACATCGTGAATAGCGTACCTCCTTTGATCTTTACCGACTTTGCCGAGTTTACAAACAGCTTGTGCGATTGCGATTGGTCAGCATATCTTGGTCGCTCCAAGAGTTCCACACATTGAAAGTCAAATAGCCAAGACGGAAAGTGCAAATAGTTCATTAACACATTTTCATTAAAACGTCTTCATCATCACCGAAATAAATAAAACACTAGAAATGTGTCTGGTGATCCTTAGATGCTAGCTTGACTGCCCGCACAGTTACCTTCAAATCCCAGAAATGCATTCATAACTGCAGGAATAGTCGAGCCAGTATCCATGGATCTTCAAACACATTCTTAACAGCCTAGGTTACTATCTCAGCATTCAATTATTTTCTGTGCAGGTGTATGAGCAAATGGAAAATTCTTAAAAAAATTAATCACACTTATTTGTTGACTTAAATTTTTGCACTTAAAAGTCATTCTAAATTATTCGTTTTACTATTCGTGGTTGTGAGTCATTGACTTCAGTTATTCACCCTTTGCTTCGTATTCATGAATTATCGGCAAAATTATTCGCTATTCGCTTCGTTTGAAAAATTCACTATTCGTACAGCCCTGTCAGTAATTTTTAGTTGATAATTGTTTTATTTGATGATTCTATCCAGTGATACTCACGTCTGCAAACTCAGTAGTATTTTCTATCAGAATTTCGATGGATTTCAGTTAGTTATCAGCTCTCATAAGGTAACTTAGGTCAAAAATCAGAACTATTCGTTTTAGTAGAGTGTCTTGTAAACGATTAAGATTCGTTCTATTATCAAGAATGAAAGGATAGCCTCAAGCTCCCTTTTTTGCTACAAATTTCCTTTTCTTTTTCTTTCAGCGGTGGCGTGAATAGTTTCCCTGCAGTATCATCTGCAGCACAACAAACTGGAGCTCGACTGTCACCCAGTGGTCTTTCTCCATTTCAGCAACAGCTTTCTCCCCGAGTTTCACAGGTGAGTTCCAAGGTCGCATGTAAATTCTGAACCATAAAAATCCCTGTGGCTGGTCGAGAAGATCAGTTAAATTTTTTATAATCTTTTCAAAATCGAAGTAACGGTTTAATCTCACTTGGTTTAAACTCTGAATTTATAATTGCAATACTCATGAATCCACCACAACAACTGGCATAATGTATTGTTTGAGACACATTGTTAATAACCACACTGCACCGCTGTATCCAATTGTTCTTTGAACTCAGCTAAAGTGCTCATCTTGTCGGCAAAATCAGTCAGCAAGTCAGCGAGAATTCAAGGCTTGCTGAGTTGCTGACCTCCCTTGTTATTTTTCTGACTTCAATTTTTGACTTAACAATGCGTCTATTTGTTCTAGTCATGTTGAGCCTGCTCCTTACTCTTTGCCCCCCCCCCTTTTTTTTTTCATATGCACAGTGCAAAAAATCCCATCATCGGATTATTCTTGTGAAACCGAGCTAAGACAAAGGTGTTGTCATATGTGGATTTCAAACATGGTTTTGTTTGGCTGGTAAATGTTGGAAGATTTAGCCCTTAAGCGGTTAGGCATTTTATTTTCATCATAACCACAATGATTTAAAAACGAATTTTATAGTAGCGTTTAAAAATTGGTGTTGTTAATTTTTTCAGGCTGGTCAAGTGCAAGTTCAAGTTCAGGCACAGACGCAAGTGGGACAAGGGAATTATCCTGTCATGAACAGTCTAAGTCCTGGGCAGCAAGCCTCAGGGCAGTGGAGTCCACAATCCAGTAACAATAGTAATAGATTAACGTTGCAACAGCAACAAAACCCTATGCTAAATGCTCAATTAACAGCAGTAAGTCACTTGTCATCAACTTAATTCTTTCAACTAGCAACCGCTACTATTACTAGTGTTTACAGCCTTTTTTCTCAGCTTTATCTTCCAATTCGTAAGGATGAACATTCCTGGGCGAACGCTAGTCAAGAGAAAGCTGATTTATTGGCCTCTTATTTTGAGGATGTTTTTTCCCCAAATGACATGCCTGACCCAGGCAGTGACTCTCCAGTAGTAACAACTCTGACTTTTCAGACTCTGGTTCTGCCCCTGCCTCCCCTCCTCCTCGGCAGAAAAAAGTTCAAAAAATCCCTGACAAAAAGATAGAGGCCATCTCTCCCACTGAACTCACCATGAAAATAAAAGGAAAAACCAAAATTAAAAAGGCACCTGGACTTGACCATATCAATGGCCTCATTCTTAAAAATTTCCGTTAAAAGGCCATTATGAAACTTGTTCAAATTTTTAGTGCTGTTGTCAAACTCAAATATATCCCCTCTCGACGGAGAAAAGCTGAGATAATAGTGCTGCTTAAGCCTGGCAAGGCAGCCTTAGACCCCTCCTCTTATCGGTCAATATTGCTACTTTCGATCATCAGAAAGCTGTTTGAGAGGTTATACATAAAACGACTAAACGATATTGTCAAATACAAAAAAACTGATAATCGATTCCCAATTTGGTTTCCGTCATTCGGATTCTGTAACAGAGTCACCAGCTTCATTGAGGAGGCAATAGAGCACGAAGAATTGTGTGTGGCAGTTTTCTTAGATGTTGCATAGGCGTGTAATAGAGTTTGGCACCAATGGTTGGTTGACAAACTTTATCACATGCTTTCTAAAAACCATGATGAGGACATGCCGACCATGGTCGTAGTCAAGCACATCCTCAATTGTCAGGAAATTTTACCAAAATGTGTCAGGGAAATGTCTGAAAATTCCATTTTCTGAATTCTGTGGCAACCCTGGTATTAGAATGTGAGCCTCCTCAAAAGACGAGCCCAGGGTTGACTCAGTTTTGATCTCGTGAGTTTTTTGCATGTTTCCTATTCTCACTGACCTGTTTTCTTTGCATAGGGTAATACTTACAATAATACGCGAGCAGCGTTTGTTCAACAGCGGCTCGTACCTCAGCATCAACAGCAACAACAACAATTGCCTAGTGTTCGAAGTTTGCCAAGTCCGAGCGCTCGAGCATCACCATTTTCTTCGGATTCGCCCAGTTACCAACAAAACCCCAACCAACAACAGCAGTACCGGCTCCAAAGAACCATTAGTGCTCCCCCACCCCTCAACACTACACCAACCCACACCACCCACCTGCCAGGTATGAGCACCATTTCTTGTCCTTGTACTGCATGTTCTCAAAATCGAGCCAACCCCTATTTGCCCCAAACTTGACTTGTTTCATTATTAATCCATATTCTTGAGTTTTTTCAACTGTAAAATTCTCTTTCAGTTCAATCCCAAAAACGACAATCAAACCTGGCATTTTCAATTATTATTAATATTTATTGATCAATTATTATCATTTAATTATGAAGTAAAGATTTCCAAAAAAGTCTTAAATTTAACAAATCATCTTAAGGAGTGTCAGCTATATCTCAGGGAGGCAAAATTTTGAAGGAGTAGGGAGTATAATTTTCAAAAATCCACTAAAAGGCTCCAAATTTCACTAATGAAAGTTAGCTTTCAAATTCCCCCCACCCCCATGCTCTCTCCAAATGACTCCCCTGAGGCCATTACTAAAATTAATTTAAGCTAAGAACCCAAAATGTTTCTTAGCGATCATAACATGGTAGTCCATGAATCGATCGCTACAAGAGGGAGCTTCATTAACTAAAAGTTGGAATGTTGAAATCAGTAGCTTACCAGTTAGTGGTGAAGACCTTTTTCGTTCCTCAAAAATTGAAGTAGAGTAGATTAGTCTGAAGTTGAAGGGGCGAAAAAGCCAGGTAGGTCTAAGTCGTCGTCCGATTTGAATGAAAGAGGATTTTATATGGAGAGAAAGCTTGTAGCCCATGAGTAGACTGTTATAAAGGAGGCATACAAGTCAGTTTTTCGAGTTTTTCCTCTTATGTATCTGTACCCCTTTTGCCCTTGGCCCTGTGTGACTTGAAGTAGATATTGTGCTTCAGTGTTACACGGACTGTGAAACCTATTTTATTCTCATTATTGCCCCTGTTGAGCCTTTTAGCTAGCCCCTATCCTTGCATCTTTTAGTTTACTATATCTTTAAGCCTGTCGATGCTCTCCTTTAAATAGTGCAGCATTTGCCAGTCAAGAGATGTTCTAAATTTTACATAAGCTATCAATTATCTTATTATAGCATTTTTCTTCTTTTTTTCTTAATTTTTAGCAAAGTTAATGTAACATTACAAATCAGAATCACAAATGCCGTTGAAATGATAAAATTTTGGCAAGAAATTATAGAGAAAGAATCATCACACTCAGCCTCCCTCTTATCAGTTGTGTACTAAATACACTGGCACTTGGTCACTTGAGTTTAAAAATTGGAGGAATATTTTTTTAAACCTTATGTAATGCCGACAGTAACCGCAATAGAAAATGATTTTGTTTGAATGTATTAGATAATCAGCTATTGCTGATTATCTTTAATGCACTTGCAAGGACCATTCAGCATTTCAGAACCCTTTATTTTCTCAGGATTCTTGTTTACAGTTGAAAAATACTCCCATAGTAAGTAAAAATATCCCCACAAAGGGTCCAAAGTAAACTTTTTGAGCCTTATTGAGTCCTTAGTAAAGGAAATTAACTTTATTGTAGGGTCGTATTTCCTCTCATATATTGTAGTTACGCTGTACTGAGTCTGTAATCATGCTACCCAGTGTAAATTCTTTCTCATCTTTACTTCTTCCCTTTTTTCATTATTTTAACCAAATTAAGATACTTTGATGCCTGTACATTCTTGTACCGAAATTATTTTGGCTGAAAAAAGTTCAGATCAAATGAATGAAATTTTCTGGAGGTTTTGACTTAATCCTTTTTTTTTACTATGAGCTTATCATGGTGTAAGGTGTAAATTATTATCTTTCAGTTGTAGAGATCTATCAAATTTTAACCTTACTGTATTCACAGCCCTAACATTTTCATACCCTTGTACATTTTGGGTCTTGCGTTGAATCAATAAAATTCACTCGTGTTAGCATATGCCTACAAGGATTTTTTTCTAATGAACCACTAGACATGGTAAGAAACTAAGCACTGTAGTACATGTTTTCTTAACAAAATTTTACGCAGAACACATTATATGTATCAATAACTTCCAAAATCAACTCATAACATATGGAAAATTCAAACTTCCATCTTGCGAAAAAACCATGTTTAACATAGGGCCAAATTAGAGAGTATAACATAGAGTACATAGAGTCGTAATGTAAATGGGAGAGCTGATGTTCTCCTCGACGAGTTCCGAGCCCGGTGTGCGCCGAGTTCGGGTCACTTTTTCGATACATGTTCGATCCAAAATGGCGGCGTGGAATACGTGGTGATTCCTATCTTCTTTGTTTACATCAGATGGCCGGGTACCGGCCAAATCAATCATGTATCGAAAAAGTGACCGGGCGTCACACAGACGTCTCGGAATTCGGGACCTGGAAAATGCTTAAAAGTGGCGCCAGCTCACCCACTTACATTACGACTCTATGTACTCTATGGAGTATAATCAAACTGTACATCAGGCAATTGACTAGAGCTTGGTTTCATGCATTACACACAATTCCTTCCTCTGCTCTCTTGAAGATACTTTCAATTTTGTTGAAATAATTAGTGCACAGGAAAATTCTTCCGTCGTAAAATGTACAGATATCAGTTTGGTGCTCGATTCGACTTGAGTAGACTCTGATTTTTCTGTGAGCGGGAAATGTGAATTATCGAAGACAAAAGCTGCTATTTTCAAACTGACAAGTTGGATTCGGAAAGTTTTAGTGCATCCGTCGTATTCTACGCTCAATTTAGATAAGGTAGCATACATTGTGGTTCTTAATTTCGCACCCTGTCTAGTGATCAATTTCAATGTGTAACTAAAGCCCCTGGTTTCATGAAGTTTAGTCCAGTGTTACCATTAATTTCTGTGCACCTCAGAAAGTACCTCTGATGTTTTTATTTTATCATCTGATAAGAATTGTGGAGACTCAAAACACTTCAAGCATCATCAGAGATGGAATTTTTTTTATTGTTCAGAAGTATGAGTCTAAATTTCTGAAATATTTTTTCTGCTCAAGCTAGACTGATCACAGCACATGTATGGAAGTTGACTTGTGACAAAAAATTTTTTTCAAGTCTTTGACAACTCAGAAAAAATTCCCGATTTTTGTGATTTCTAGTTACTTGTTGTAATTTTTGCATTGTTCACTCTTTGCATTTCAACCAAAGACACTAAACAAGGTGCAAATTCAAGGATTATGACATGCCTTTGTTTTTTTTCTTCTAAATTTTATGTAGATCTCGATCCATGCATCGAAAATTATTGAAAGTAACTCCTTACCAAGATATTAACATTTTTTGATGCATGAATTCAGACTTCTTGCTCATAATAACAACTATTATCCACTTGAAATAAGTCGCACATTAAAAGTTAACCCTAGAGTTTTTCTGGTATGAAAATATGGCAACCTCAATTTCGAAGCTCTTGCTCAGATATTGAAAGTTGTTTATACTTTAAACAACACAGGGTAGAATAGGAACAATACTCAATCAAGAAGCCTGTCAAAGCCATTATGGTGCTGGATTTGTTTCACATTGACTTAGGTTTTCCTGTGAGTGAGAAATCCAAATTTTTCGTAGCCATTGCTAAATAAAAATTTTAATATCTTGGTTAGGAGTTAACTTGAGTATTTCTTGTTGAGCAAATCATGTTCTATGTACAATTTTGAAGAGGAAACTTGGTTCAGAATACTTAAATTCTTAGTTTGTTTAATGGCTCATTAGAGTGAATATTCTGTTGGGCTTTCGCCATAAAAGATCAACACAGCAGAATTTGAGCAATGACTCTGTAATCATGTCTTTGACATTGGATGCAGTGAATATGCTTTTCTTATCGCAAGTTTTCTTGAGATCTTGTCTTCCTCAGTCAGCCAGTTAAAAATTCAATTCTTCATAGAAAATCACCTACCATGAGATCGTCTTCCATGAGAGTGGCGTCTAAATTGATTCTGCTGTTTGGAAGTTGATTAAGAAAAAAATACTGACTTTTATTTTTCAATGATGTGTTTTACTGCTTATCATTGACTAATTTTTTAACCCTTATTATTATCCAGTGCATTCGGCATGTTTTAAGTTGACTTAACTTTCTTGCTGTTGATTTAAAGTAGTGTTGGTCGCTGTTCCCTTGTACCCCCTCTCAACAGGGCTGCTAGATAGTGCTAGAGAGTCAGTGTACTTGACAGTATGACGTTTAAAATCCGTGCAGGAGGTTTCGCTAACCCTGCCGTTTTTGCGTCCCCTTGAAATTACTAAACGTTCTTACTCCTTAGTCCAACTGATTTGAACAGTCACTCAATTTTTCTTAACTAGGTTAGCCAAGTTTTAATTTTAAACTGTGATTTGCAGTAGTGTTTTCTTTGATAAATAAGATGGACTGATGATCGCAATTTTTCATTCCTCAAGAGCTTTGTCTTTCTCCCTAAAACCTAGATAATGAACACAAGTTTTGTCGTGATTCAAATCAGATGGACTCTTGTTCTTGACTTCTCTAAGCATTTATTCTTCTTTATTTTTAAGTTTAATTTTAAGAAAGCATCTCAATTAATTCTGGCTCAATTGCCTCCCCGTTCCATTTTCTATTCTTTTTTTCTCTTTTTTTCTGTATTATTTTATTTTCATGTAATTTTTCTTGACGTTTTCCAACAATCTGATCTCAAATCTTTTGCCAATTTAGTATTTTTTCTGGTTTACTGTAGTAATTAAACCTTGTTCTCGCCTTTTTGGTTTCCTTGTATTTTAGATTGTCTTGTCATTTTTTAATCTACTACAGTAACCTTTTAGATTTGGTAATTGTGACTTCTAAACCGTCAGTTGTCGTTTTCATCAGATTTTCCTTGTTTTAAGACAATTCTAGTCAATTCAGGCTGGGGATATTCTTATTGTTAATTTTTAATTGCTTCATATGAGAGTTCGAAAGAATTTTGCTTCATCTAGTAAATCAAAGTTGTTAGGCAAATGTCCTTCTTCAAATGTAGCTTTTCCACTTTAGTGCATTCAATTTTTCGCCTAAAATACTGTGAAAAATGTCATGTGTGTTAAAATCTTTCAAAAAATTGTCCCTGCAGAGAAATAACATTTGCTTTTGCTCAGGCATCTAAATTGTATTTGAATGGAAGTGCTCATGAATCTGTCAAGTTATGTCACGTGAGCAGCGTGGTGGCGGCAGTTTTGACCTCAAGACCACACTACCCAACTCTTGTGCTGATATTTAACATACATACATGCTGTTGTGCATTATCTGCCGCCATCTTGCTTCCGTAACCTAACATGCCAGATTTGCCAGCAAGCAACTCATAGTCCTTTTAATGCTTCATCCATTTTTAGCTCCATGAATTACGAGGGGCGTTCAATAAGTAAGTATCCCCCCTCTCTAAAATCACTAAGAATGGACCAATTTTAAAAAACTTGAGCTCAAAATCTTTCTTAGGATATACTAAGTTCAACAAAACCGGACTATGTGCGGCCGAACGCGAGCCGTTTGAACGCGCCGAGGTGCTCGACGCTCCCGCCGAATCCGCGGAGATTTGAAGTCCGCGATAGGAGAAGCGCTTCTCTGCCAAAGCCCAAGTCGCTTATCACTGACGAAAAATCAAAGAAGTTTTTATAGAATAAGGGGCTTACCTCACTTTTCCACATAACCAGCCCGATCCAAGCAGGTCTGATACTGAGACTAAGAGAACAGCTTTTGGATGCTACGCGCGTAGAAGGCTTTCAGCTGACCGGGGATGAAAAAGAGTGGACGGCTTGTTTGACCTCTTCCACTGATTCAAAATTAACTCCTCCGAGTTCAGATTTCAGAAATGATAGTAAATGGTGGTCCGGTTTGCCATTTACTATTGTCTCTGAAATCTGAACTCGGAGGAGTTAATTTTGAATCAGTGGAAGAGGTCAAACAAGCCGTCCACTCTTTTTCATCCCCGGTCAGCTGAAAGCTTTCTACGCGCGTAGCATCCAAAAGCTGTTCTCTTAGTCTCAGTATCAGACCTGCTTGGATCGGGCTGGTTATGTGGAAAAGTGAGGTAAGCCCCTTATTCTATAAAAACTTCTTTGATTTTTCGTCAGTGATGAGCGACTTGGGCTTTGGCAGAGAAGCGCTTCTCCCATCGCGGACTTCAAATCCCCGCGGATTCGGCGAGAGCGTCGAGCACCTCGGCGCGTTCAAACGGCTCGCGTTCGGCCGCACATAGTCCGGTTTTGTTGCAGTTTGTTTTGTTGAACTCAGTATATCCTAAGGAAGATTTTGAGCTCAAGTTTTTTAAAATTGATCCATTCTTATTGATTTTAGAGAGGGGGGATACTTACTTATTGAACGCCCCTCGTATAATTTTTTTTCAGTTGCTGTTCGACAAAAAAACTTTAGGAAATAATTGTTTGCTCTGTTTCCCCAATTCTTTTTAATGATGCATTAAAAAATTTCCCTGATCTGACCCTTAAAAATATTTGATGCCTATAGGCATCTTCGCCGAAGTTATTCTCCTCTGTACCCAAAATCATTTCTCAAACAAAAAAAAATTCAGTTAAATTTTTGTAATGAAAGTTTACAAAGAGTGTTCATCTGCACTTAAATATGATAAAAAAGAAATGATCGGAATTGGTGCACTTGGTGGAGCCTACAAAAAAATGAAAAATACAAAACAAGTGCCCTTTTCATCCATCTTCGTATGTATGGTGCAGATATCTGTGAAGAAGCAACATGAATATAAACCGTTCACAAATGTACTCAAAAAGGTAAAAATTTGCCTCTTTAGCTCCTTGAAAAATTTCTTCCCTCTTTTTTGTCGGAATAAATTCAATTTATCGGCGACCATCTTGATGACTCACAGTTTATCAATTTTATAAATCTGAAATTCAAGCATAGCTTTTGGACCAAAATTAATCCGATTCTTTAGATGGATAACTTAGGTTTTGATTTTGCCAAGAAAGGCCACTGTAGATTGTGATTTGAAAAATACCAAGCCGATCTTTTCAATATAAATATCAGAGAGGAATAATAACTAATACATTGAAGATACTGAAACTTGATCAAAGTCCTTTCTTGAAAATAGTATTGATGAATTAACGGAAAGAAGATCAGATTGTTGGAAAGAGATTTGCAGAGCTACTCAATGATGGTAAAAAACGACGGACTTATCCAATCATGTTTCAGGAGGAGGCTTACGCCATTACAACCCGATGAAGGATTCAGCAATGTATCCTCCCCCTTCTCATACCCATCAACATTATATGAACTATCCCCTAGATCCTCAGTCGTATTACAACCCCTCAACGTATGGACCACCAACCCCTGCTGAAAACTGTAGACTACCCTCTTCTGCAGCTGGTGGTAAGTCATGTGACCCAACTTTTGAGTCATGTGACCACACTGCAAAAACTCCTTCATCTCCTCCATCCCACTCTCTATTCTATCTGTGTCTATCTTTTCTCTGTTAAACCTCAGTTTTTGCGCCTCTCATCTGGAAAAAGTATATTGATTTACCTAGAGAGATTTTGACAAGTTATTCTTGTAATCAAAGCAACCCTCATCCATTCCTCGAAAGTTCAGTATTTCAGTTCAAAAAATTATGTATACACATTTTTATCATTGTTAAAAAAGAGGATGGATTTATTGCAGTATTTTAAATTGTTTCTACTCATATATCTAAATACCAATATCAATTAAAAAGAAGGAATTAAAAGCGTGAAATGGTTGATTCCTTATCAAATTAAAAAATGCGCATTTTTTTACTGAGGTTTTCTTGGTGCTGCATGAGTCCTGGGACTCCTAATCCAAACCTCCCTCTAAGTCATCTCATCAATGGGTGTCTACAAATGTGGGAAATGGGAAATGTAGGAGAACTCAGGAACTATTTGTGTATCTTATATCGGAAGAAGATTGGAAGGGATAAAGATAAATGATGAAGAAGTTGACCTCAAACTTTATCTTGAGAATAAGTTATTGTTCTAATATTGCAACATTTTACCATTTTGACATGATTTTGGCAATATCTGATCGGTTAAGAAGCAACATGCTTTTCAATAAATTAGAGGGAAGGGTTCAGCCACATAATTCTAATGACAGTCTCCCCTTTTCTATGGCCTTTTCGAGTTCCCTTTGGTTTTAGAGGTTGTCCAGGGTTTTCAGCGTTTTTTGAGGTACTCAAGAATTGTTCCCGTTTCTCTTTTGTTTTGTTGCTCGCCAAACTTTGAAGTTCCTTTTATTTATGATGCAAAGTAACCCCTGGCATTCAAGCAGTCTGAGACACCTAGAATGTCATCTGCTCTAATGATCACATTATAGACAAATTCATTGATGGCATCATTGAAGGAGCTATGGATGATGTCATTAGTAAAGACCCTTATGTTTTCAAAAACTTGCTGTTTTTCATGCGAGACATAATATACCCCAAGTGCACCTTGAAAGTTCAGTTATGACGTCAGCGATGTCTACAATGATTAAGCCTTCAATGATGTCGTCGATAAAGCTATCAATAAAATTATCGCTGAAGCCATCAATTATGTCATTGTCCAGGTCACCATTTAAGTGTTTCTTTCGGCAATGTGAAGATTAAACTTATGGATTAACGTTCAAGCCCCAGAAAAAAATTAAGTGTACTCTTGGAGCCTGAAAAATTGGTAATAGCAGTCCCTATATCAAAAATAAATTTCTCGTGACCGTAAAACAACACCAAAATGTTTTAAAATACTTAGCATTGTATCAGGCTGTTCATCGTTCTTCCTTTTTAAGCAGTAATAATCTTCTAAACCTTCCTCCATACGATAGGCTCTCTCATAAATGCATTATTTTTGTATAAACAAATGAACGTTTATTTTTCAAGGATTCTTCTGAATTTTTAAGGAGCTATATTTTGAATATTCAGTTTTCCCAGATCATCCAAGTCGGTCGCTATCTGAATGATTATTGATCAAAGTGAAAAAATAGTCATAAAATACCATCTTCCAAGGGGGAACGGGATTTAAAGGGTTGACACTCATTATTTGTAGATACCCTTTCATCTCATTTGTTTTGTGTTGCAAGCTTTTCCACTCCATTGTCATCTAAACATCCTAAACCACTTAAAATGTATAAACACACACTCCCTCTCTTGTTAGGAAGTTAACCTGCCCTTAAAAAAGGATATACCGATTATTTTTTCTTATGTTTGCTATCCTTATGGGAGGTTCTTATTTGCTGTTTGATCCGATAATATTCAGCACCTCTAGAACTTGCCGCCCAGCTCCTGTTTTACAGCTGGAAGAAGAATGAGTGTTTGTTATATTTTGCTCTCAAAGTAAGGTACATATATCTGCGTATTGTTGTGTTTCTCCAGAAAGTTAAATAGTTCTCTTTAAGTCTTATTTTTCCCAATCATGTTTCCCTCCAGTGTGCTTTAATGAGAAGTTTTCAGGAAACATTAAATGTAACTCAATTTTATCAGCAAAAACTTTTCTGCCAAAAATTATATGAGATCCTCCTGCCACTTAACGCATGAAGCAAGTTCCAGCTTTAGGGAATGGCCAGAGTCACTTCAAGTAGAAGTTCATGAAAATAAGCTGTCTATTGACTTCGTCCTCCTCCCCTCCAAAATGAATGCATTCATGAATCTCTCTTTGTCATCATGAATGTTGTCGTATGGCAGTTGACTATTTGAAATGCCTACATTACCAGGCTCCGAGAAAAGGCAACAACAAGTTGGGCGGCAGGTGACAAAGAATGGTTGCACTAATGGGCTCTTTAAAAATTAGGTAAAAAGTCTGTGATTTTATGTTCCAAAACTTCAAAGTAAAGTCAATACCTATGGTCTAATCTTCAGCAAGTTGAAAATCTCTGGATAAGCGCTGTTGTCTAGCTGTGTTATCGGAGCAAGTTGTCGGTCCTTTTTATCAAAGACACTGCTTTCTTACATGATCTTCCATTTCATTCATTGTTGACATAGTTAAAGACATATCTTATGGTGATTTTATGCGATCTAGGGACAAGATTTACCCCTACGTTGCGCTGCTATGCCGTTTGTGCCTTTGAGAAGCAATAAGTAATTATCGTTACCTACAAGCCAATGAAAGAAACTGATCCATAACTTGTAGCAGCATTAATATTGAGTAGGATGACTTCAAATTTGTGAAGACTCATCGAAAATTAATGTTTGAAACTACGATAACAGACGTTGCCCATTGACTCAATTTGAAAGAGAGATATAGTGCTAAAATAACTCTCCTTCACATCGAGTCAATGGGTGACGTCCTTTACCGTAGTTTTTGGTATAAATTTGCAATGTTTCTCTACAAATTTGATGTCATTCTTCTCAGCATTAATGCTGCTATGTGTTATGGATCAGTTTCTTGCATTATCTTTTACATTGCGATAAATATTGCTTCTCAAAGACGTAAACTGTGAAGCAGCAAAGTGTGGTGGCAAATCTGGATCTCGTCCCTAGATCACATAGAGTCACCTTAAGGAGGACATTTCTCAAGATTATTAATACATAACTAAATTCTACGAAGTCAATTCCAGCAGTGCATCACACCAGCCACACTGATGTTCCAACAAAACAAGCCTCATGTCAAGTCCTACGTTCATCATTTAACATTTTTTCATTTTGTGACTAACATTTTTTTAAATTTGTCAACTGTTTGTGAATTCATCTCCTTGCCGCAAACCTATCCTTTCAGCTTTGTATTTACGCTTTTGTTTGATTATTTTTCTTGCTTCTTTACCCTTAAGCCAACTAATTCTTTTGTGGGCAAGAGGATACCTATTGCTCAGTCTTATATTTAGAATGATTTATTCTTCTCGTCAAATTTAAAACTTTGCCTCGAAAAATGAAACCATCAATGAGACAAGTTGGTACTTACTGTCCAACAACTGTAGCGGTGGATTTTGGCATTTTAATTTATTAATTCACCGATTATCTCTGACTACATCTCAGATTCCTTTACCTTATCATTACCTCTTTAGCCACTACCACTCTGGCATTGAAATAAACCACAAAAGCATTATATATTCAAGAATATTTCAAAGAACGTTTTCGATTTCAGTAAGAAGTGCTAGATGTCAGCTCTTTTGTCAAAAAGACCGACAATTCTGAGAGCAACCAAATCCTGGGATCCTCATAAGGGTCTAGGGATGGGAAAGCATTCTAGAAGGAGCATCCGGGCATCTACCACAAGTCTGATCTATCATTGTTTCAAAATGTTGACAGTAGTAACAAAGCAACTGTCTCAACTGATTTAAATCTCGATCTCTTACGACTCAGAGCAAATCGTAGGGGATCTACGGTGGTCTTATTCTCAGTAACAGTAATGAATAGTACAAACGAGTCTTCAATCTAGTTTTTAGCTCTGTTACCACGATCAAAATTGAAAACAAAATGAAGCAATTTGTCAGAATTTAGGCCAGATTTCGTTATATTTTCATAATTTTGAGACAGGGCATACAGCTGTACGAGTACTAAGTATGCTCGAAAGATAATCAAACAGAGAAATATATTCATTTGCATGGTACCTTGAAGCCTCTGCCTCATTGCTGTATCATCTGCATCTGCTGTAAAATCCTTCAAGTCCTCTTGTGAATGTCAGCCTCTGCTTCGTTTTATTTATTCGTGTCTTATATGTTTTTCATTCTCATTTCATTCGTGTTTTTGTGTAATTTTCATTACCTTATTTTGAAGAGCGAGTTTTTGCACAGTTGGATCACTTTTTATTAGTCTTTTACTTTAGATTATCTTCTTTAGGTTAATTTTTTTTGAACTTGGCCCAATCTTTTTTCCCTTTAAGTTGATTAATATTTTAAACAAAAGGAGGAGATGTTCGTGAATAACTTTGTGATCATAAAATTTGTTAACTTAAAATTTAAGGTTGTCAGACTCGCTAAGCCTGAAGTCTCAACCTTTTTTCACTTATAGATTTGAATCAGTGAGAACGGAAATACACCAACTCGGAAAAATGTAAGTAATCAAGACACACACAAAATTGCACAGTAGGTGAAGAAGTTAGTTTAAGATAAAGATTTTTGCTGCCGAAAGACAAGTACTTATGGACTTTTTAAAGGTCTAAGTTGGAACAGATGCTCTAACTGCAATGATCTTTATGCAAATTAACTGTCTTTAATGGATATTGAGCATTTTCGAGTTACCGAGTTGGTGTGTTATCGTTCTCACTGATTCATTTACAATATAAGATTGTGCCTACCTCTGTAATTCATTTGAATGCAATAATGAACAAATTTCAAAAATCAAACTGCCAGTTGTTGAGATCTTCAAATTAGTTTTGAATCATCAGTCTGAGTCTCTTTGATCTCTGCAAAGAGCAAGCCTAGATTATCGCCCGAATAGTTTACCTTGAAGAAGCACCCATGAATAGAAAAACTTACGATAAAAAAGTAGAAGAAGTGTTCAGTAAAATTCTCTGAAATTAAATCAATCATTGCAATTATAATGATACTAAACCAACGTTTATTTATCTGATAAAAAAGCTCTGCTATGGAAAGTTTTTGAACACTTCTACTTAACAGCAGTCTTAGATCTTTGTTGTTTGTAGCTCTAGGTATAAATTATAGCATTATGTAACATGTTCCCTCCCCAAATTTTTTTGAGGAAAACAAAATCTTCAATGAAAAGTCTGGAATTGAACTCCTAAATATAACTTTTAACCTTGCTCTGAATGAATATGACGGAATATCTTGCTGTCAGAACCTCAAAAAGGGTTTATTTCAGACCTTTAAGAACATAAAAAAATATCTTTATTTATTCCCTTATTATAGTCTCAACATTTGTTAGCCCTGATCTATTCTGGCTGTTTGGTTTCAGAAGAAAAATAGTTATCAGATTGCACTTATACATGGTTCTTTCATATATCTCCTGCTCTTTCAAAGTTAAAGTTTCTTTAATAATATGTTAGCGATTAAAGTCTGAATCAAAGTGCATACATACTTGTTGGTTCTCTCTGACATCTCTTGCTTTTTCAAAGTTCAAGTTTCGTAGATAAGTGGTTAGCAATTAAAGTTTAAATAGAAATATTCCATCATGTGATTCCTCCTCAAAATTTTTTGTGACCAAAAAAATGCTTGTCTCAAGAAGCTGAAAATTAGACCCCTTATTAAAATCGTGGATAGGTGGCATTCAAGATGAAATTACAAGATGCCATTTACCAGATGATCTTTGAGTCAATAGACTAGAGTAGTGATTAGCAGGTGTCGCAGAACGCCCGAGCGCGCTGTAAAAGCGACTTGAATGCATGTATCAAAATCATATCAGTTACAATAATGACCTACCTAATTGAGGAAAGATGAATGATGTCGTCTGTTTTCCTAAGTTTACCCTTGAATAGAGTTACTTATCCAAGATTCAAGAGTTGTGTCTTTAAGTCCTCTTTATGAGGATCCTTTTCTCGGTAAAATTTTGTGGAGGAAGCTTTGATGAAATGTTTCAATTTCAACTTTTGCTGTTAGCTCATGATTTAAGTAAGAGATTCACAAAAGTTTATCAATAAAAATCATGGATTTTTCCTGCTGAGAGCCATCTTTTTAAAAATTATTTTAGCTATGCTAAATTGTTACTGAAACTGGTCTCTTTAATCAAACATTTGATCATAATAGATTTCAATTGTGTGGAGGGCTTTTGAATCTTCATTCAATTTAAATCATTCATAAAGCTGTTACTGAACTAAATTCATTCCTGTGTTAAGGTGGTAACAATGGTGCATCAGAATATGTACGGCAGGAGTTGCGAGCAGTTGTCGGTGCGCGGCAAGGGGGATTACGGCCCTCTCCACAAATTCAAATTGCTCCTGGTCAAGTAACCTCCGCTGATCTCGAAGCCCTTGGGCTTTCCTATGAGATGCCTTCCTCAGGTAAGAGTTGGTATTTTCACCTAAATCATACTAGAAAGTTTTCAATCAAAATTCATAAATTACATTTTATTCATTCAATGAAAAACTCATTTTCAAGCCTAGAATGATTTCTTGATTACATTGAAGGATGAGCATCCTCTTTCCTGAATCGAGTGTCGGACAAAGAATGTCAGACAAAGTAGCAATAACCCTCACCTGGGCATTTAAGTAATCAATAGATTCAGTGCTGAATCTCTCTCCACTATTAAACTTGGGCGTTGATCTAAAATCTCCACACTGCAATGTTGTTCTGTGAGCAAGTTTATTCGATCAAAGCTATTGATCAAATTCGATTAGATGTTTGTGTTTACAAACCTTTAAAGCAGCAGAAATTTTTAAAAATATACGTATCATACCGGTTATCTTTGTGTTGAGAGATGTTTGTAAAATATGTTCTTCAAACCAGAAGAATGTTAGTCTTGATCCCTGGGCCCCGTATGTAGTGGAATTCAGAATTAACCACCAGACTTAAGGACAAGAAAAACATGTAAAAGTAGAAAAAGAGCAGAATGACTAAAGAGTCTGAGAAAAATTGCCTGCACGGAAACTGTGAATTTTAACGCATTACATCTCACATTATCTATTTGTTTTCTAACTGGATGCAAAAAACTTAAAAATTATTATTAATTATTTCGTGTTGTTTCAGCTTTACGAAATTTTCTTGAAATTGTCAGAAAAAACCTAATAAAGCCAAGGAATTCCGATTTTAGTTTCTATGATCACTCCGCTAAAATTGAGGATTGTCCTAATTTACCACACAGAATTGTTTTTCTTCAATTTATAATTTATTTAATCCTTAAATTCATTCATTTCTAAAATTAATTTTCCAAACAAAAAGTGGCAAAGTATCTGCGCTGTATTACTGGAGAAAATAAATAATAGAGTATCATCCTAAACTTGTTCGTTTATGTATGCTTTCAGGTGGAAACGTTAGTCCTAAGCTTTGGGCAAATATGAGTTCAGAGCTCGCTGCTTCATCAGGTCAACCTGGTTTACCAAGGGTACGTTTTAAGATAGTGTTACTAAACTTATATTGCCAAAAGCAGGCAACATTAATTTCTCTGCTCCCAAGGAGGCAAAATATATTATTAGTCCAATGGGTCTAATTTCAACCGAAATTCATTGCATTCTCAACTGATTTCTTTCATAATCAGCACTTTTCTCCAGAAAAAACTAGTTCTAACTGTAAAGGGTTTTATACACTAACCGGTACATTCTTAAACTTTGGAAAATGAGCTTATTTTGGGTGAAACTGCAAAAATTTGTATCTTGGTTGGAGTGTTTCATAATCTCTATTCTTCCTTTTTTCCTTTGAAAGGAAACCAAACTACAGTCTTCGTTTGAAATTTTCACAGAATCTCCTTTACTCAAATGATAAAAAGTAGGGCTGTGCGAGCCTGGTTTTTTGGATTCGAGCCAAGTTCGAGTATTTTTTCACTAAGTCGAGCCGAGTTCGAGCTTTTTCGAGCTTTGAAAATGACCCTCAAGCCGAGTCGAGCTCGAGTCGAGTTCGAGTAATTTCGAGTTTTAAAACGTGATTTAATCTGTGGTGTACATCAAAGGAACTTCGGGTGGCACAAGTGAAGGCTTTAGAGCTCATTTATGCTCGCAATTTGTGTCGCCGTGTCGCTGGCGGCAGTTGTCGCCGCGACGTTTTTTGGAATCGCGCGATCCATATTTTTGTAGCCGCAGCACCTTTTTTCTGCCGCCGCGACACCGTTTATCTGGAGCGCAAAAGGTCCAAAACACGTGCTCACTTTCAGTCCTCCAAGCGGCGGTCGCCGCTGCAGGTTGAAATTGGTCGCGCGCATAAATGCGCTCATACGACTCCGTGTATTTACAAACCGCGGGCGGCAGGAAATCGCCGGGCGGTTGCGTGTTGGCGCTGCGGATGGTAGAAATTTGCCGACGAGACTCTGATGTTATTCAATCGTAAAATGATGGCAAAACTAACGTTAGTTGAAGTATGATTGAAATATTTGGAAGTTGGACTCTTTCGGCGTTTCCGGCTCAAAAAAACTCGAAATACTCGAAAAAACTCGTGTTGTTGACACTCGAGCCGAGTTCGAGTACTCGCTTGAACCTAACCTAACTTTCGAGCCGAGTCGAGTACTCGATACTCGGCTCGACTCGACTCGAAATTCAAGTACTCGCACAGCCCTAATAAAAAGCACCAAAGTTTTGAAAAAGAAGAGGTTAGTTGTTTTCTACTTAAAAAAGAAAGTATTATGGGAAGTCTCTAATAGTCGCAAATTGAAATATGCATTTCTGGCATTTTGCCGTTAATTTGTTGCTGATCTGATTTGAAGATTCGAGGCAAAGTCACACAATCATTTCATTTTATTTTTTGGAGGGCGTTTTAAATTACTCTTTGCCAAAGAGAGAACACGATGCTGACTTGAGTTTGTAGGACAATATTGCATGCAGCAGCAATACCTGTAACATTGAAGGGTCTCGTAATTGAAATGTTGTATTTTTGTTCATGTGTGTGTCGATTGGAAGAACTGCAGAGCAAACTAATCAAGGCAACAAAACAGCAGTTTTTAGATGTAGAGAATAGTTGTAATGTGTTAATTGCTGTTTGGCTCACATCCACCAGTTTCATGCAGATGAAATGCATCTAGCACTAGAACAGCATGATTTATACATCACCCTTTGCATATTGACAAGAGACTTTTGCCTGGATCAGCTGCAGTGGACCACTATGTCTGCAATGGAGACTAGGTGCAAATTTCAGCACTGTAATGAATGTTGTCTCATCAAAACTAACGTAGAACACAATATGTGCAAAAAAAATTACCGAGGGTAACTCTTAACCAAAATATTAACATTTTTCTATGCCTACCTTCAAACTTCCCACTCATGAATAAAATCATAATCTACTTGAGTTAAATCGCATACTGAATGTTACCGTGACTGTATATCGGCAATTCGTCTCAGCTGTTGCATGATGTTTACTCTTTGTACAACATAAGGCAGGGAAGAAACACTGCCGGAGAATGAATCCTGCTAAAACTGTAGCACGTGACTTTATTCATGCAGACTCTCAGGAAATATACATATTTCATAACCAGTGCTCAGTCAAAAGTCTTTCCCATGAGCAGGGTATTCTAATTTTTCAAAAGCAGTGCGAAATTAAAAGATATTATCTTGGTTAGGAGTCACCCTCAGTAGTATTCGTTGTGTTAGTTGTGTTCTAAGTGAAATTTTGAAGAAGAAACATGTACGAATTAGAATGCTTACTTCAAAGGTACCTTTTCTAGTAATCCATCAGATCAATAGATGGTAACTTTGCAATCAACATGGTAACATTACTGGATTGTGTCCCTCTGACAATCTTTTTTGAAATGCCACACTTCATACATAAGTGTTTTACAGGGTGTAACAAGTAAGTGGCGACCAACTTTCAGGGGTTGTTCTATGGCTCAAAACAAACAGAAAAGTCCTTTACCAACATCCTGTAAGATGAGTCGTTATGGAGTTACAGGGAGTTCAATTATTGAAATGAAATACTGTACGTTTGGCGTCACAGTGGCTATCCTAATTGTCAGAACCCAAAAACAATTGAGGTTTCGTAAAGCACTCATCAAGAGCTTCAAAAAAGGTTTTTTCGTTTTTTTCGTAAAATCCTTCCTATTGGAGTTATTGACCGCTAAAAAAAATACCGTTTCACCGCACGTTCTGATCTACTTTATTTGCGACGTATGGTAATACGGTATTTTTTTAGTGGTCAATAATTCCATTAGGTGTTTTACAAAAAAAAGCGGAAGAACCTCCTTTTAAGCTCTTAATGAGTGCTTTATGAAACCACAATTGTTTTTGGGTTCCGACAATTAGGACAGCCACGGTGACGTTATAACCAAACACGTACGGTATTTTTTTTCAAAAGTTGAACTCCCCGAAACTCGAGAACCACGCATCTTAAAGGATTTTGGTAAAGGACTTTTCTGTTTGTTTTGAGCCATATAACAACCCCTGAAAGTTTATTGCCACCTAGTTGTTACACCCTGTATTGGGGCTTGTTTCGTAACAGTGCAGTAGCAGTAGCATTTTCCCTCACATTTTTCTGGATTGCTGCACCTAAGTCTCCTGAATTTATACACTTTCTTTATGGAAGAATAGCTGTGCCAAATACCTCGCAAACTCCTTTTTTCAGCCTATTCCTTCAATTTTGCTAAGTTGTTTTTTTTCCATTCTCTTTTGCAGCCGGGTATGGAAGACGTTGGAGTGAGGCAAGGTGCTGAAAAATCATCGCTACTGCAGAAGCTTCTGTCAGAGTAAACTGGTTTTTGGTTACTTTAAATTTTGTTACGGTTTGACTGTTCTGGTCGGCAGTTGTTGTTTGACTTAGTTGGCTCAGCGGCAGTCAAGTCTGTTGGACTATCAACAGAGTACCTGAGGCTGTCTCTTTGAAAGTGCATTATTTGTTTGTTGAAATTAATATTTAATGTAAACATTCTAATCAGCTAATCTTTACTTTTATTTTTCATCATATTGTTTATTTTTTCATCAGTTGTATAAATGTATATTCTTATAAATATACCGTGCATCTGTGTTTGCACCATTGTAAATTATTGTATAAATTTCAAATCAAAGTGACAGTGGTAAATTTCTGTAAAAAGCTGGATTGCGCGAACACATTGTGCATTGTAAATCATGTTTGCATCGTAGCACTTGTATCTGAATCAAGTCTACCATGTAAGTATTGATCATACCAATGTGTGCGACCATGATACAGAGTTTGTGTATATTTGTACATTACCTTCTATAACATAAGAATACAAAAGAAAAATTTAAAAAAAAACCAAAATATAAAACATAAAAACAAATTCTAAGTTTTCCATCAGTAATTTTTTTCTATGCAGACATTCTCTCCATCAATCCTGTCAACTAATTTTAAGAATTTCTTCAATTTATTCTTTTTGAAATTTGTCTCATATGAATAATTTCTGTTCCCTCTTCCCCTCTTGTTTTGTGATTAGTTTCCTTTCGTAAGTGTTTAATTATTATCTTTAGGTGCCTTATTTAGATTGTGTCTTTTATGTTTACATAAGTATTTTTACACTTTCAAAATGTGTGTTGTTTTTAGCATTGTTTTCAATTGAAACAGTTGGATTAGAGGGAGGAAAAGTTAGCTGTCAAAATTTCAGAGCTGTCCCATGCTATTAATTTCAGAAGCTTAATTTTTTTCCAAGTTTTCAGATGATTTGGTACCTTGCTGTTATGTCGTAAAGAATCAAACTTTCAATGCATGCTCCTCGGGCATGTTAATTGTTTTCTCACAGGATACTGATGACCCCCTTGCATTAGTAAGGTTCATCTCTAATTCCTACTTTTTCTAAACTACTTTGTTCCCTTGGTTCACAACATCTTTTCTAAAAATATTGTATGATTGCTCGGAGAATTTCTTTACAAGTCATAGTAGAAGAGACCGAGTGAAACCCAAATTCAGCTCAGCCACCAGTAGTTTCAGAATTTTCATGATAATCAGATGCATCATTTACACTTGAGTTGTCATGCTTACACAGGAAGCGGACGTCTTCACAGCCAGAGATGTCATTGCTACAAGCGTTTGTTACCCTCGGAAACTTAGTATGTTTTATAAAATCTTGGAATTAGAAATAACTTAACATGCAGTTTTTTTTGCCTCTAAAAGTTCGTTTGACTTGTATCCAAGTGAACAGCCTCTCATTTATAAATTAAATTAACTCAACAATACAATTATTCTAAGCTGTTTCTTTAATTGCCTGGTGCAGTTGATTTTGAATCTGAAAAATTGCCAAAAAGCTGTGCGTCTGTGGAGCATGACTAAGTTTTAAAGTAGAGAAAATTTTAATTACTTCTTTTTTTTTCTTTTTTTAATAACTGTTTTTATTTTGAAATTTTATCTACAAAATTTTATTTCAAACACTGGTACCGTATTAATATACAATGATGAATCAGGATGTTGAATTAATTTTTTACATATATTTTTTTTTATTGTTTTGTTATTTTGCTGTTTAAAATTTTGTTTTAACGTTTTTGAAGATAGGAGTGGTCCTTTTTGTTGTGGAGCTGGTTCATTTTTTCAATCCCTTCAGCTAATTGTACTAAAGTCTGTTTCGAAAGAGTATTTTCTCAAAATCTTGAAGGTCTACACAGCAAGGCTTCATTTTGAGGAGTCTGGAATATGAGAAATTAGGGAACTAGTTTCATATATTGTGTGAATATGCAGGTGATTCTGAATATGATCTCATTTGATATGAATGTATATTTTTCTATCAAATTAATTCGGATCAGTTACAATTAGTCCACTAGTTATTTTTGTAGTTTTTATTTATTTTTTAATTTTATTCTTGAATACTCAATTGTCTGTCTCTGTTTTGTGTTAGTATCAGTTACAAATTGTGAAATTGTAAAAGGAATTTGTAAAATTTTGTGTAGATAATTTTTAATATGATTCACAACTACTATTATTTTTCTCTTTTTAATTGATAGATTTTCCTTGTTCGTATTTACGTACCTAGTTTATAATCGTACTATCAGACAGCATGAATTCACAAGTCCAGTACTACTAACTAATTGACAAGTGTATTATTGGTGTCTTTTTGCTATCCAGAAACTGATCAAAGAAATGAAAGACAGTTAAAACCGTGACTCCTTGTTGTAGGTAGACGAAAGCTCATTAATTGCCAGTGAATTGCATTCATTCTAAAGAAAATTGCTCCACATTTTTATGTCTCCATTTCACATAACATTTTCTGAGAATGGTATACATGTGCTCAGCTCATGAGGAAAAACATAATTTCGTCACATCAGTTATTTTCAACCCCCCCCCCCCCCCCTCATTTCAAGTGTTTAATGCTAGGAAAATAATGTTTGTTTTTTAAAGTTTCCCTAACCTAGTATTTACTCTTAACGAAATGTTTCCTGATATTTTTGAATTTACTGTGGTTTTCCTGTGGATTTACGAAAATACTACCCAAGTTTCCAGGAAAACTTTCAGAGATTAGCAATGCTGCAAGATACCATGTATGCCTGTAGATAACTTGCACCCCAGATTTTGAGCCCCCCCTTGTGCCTGTGGTGTTCTGTTTTGCTCGCATTGTCAAGTAGCGCTTAATAGGTATGCAATTTCAGTGAGTTTCACAGATAACCGGTACCCTGATTTTTGAGCGTAGAAATCGGGGGAAAGGTGCGGGCGTACATGGTGAATAAAATTTTCACAATCAAAGTGTCGGAGAAGTATTCGTTTCCGAATATCTGCCATAAAATCTTTCAATTTTAGGAGGATATTCGACAACGCTACTCTCCGCCTTTTTTCGCTGATACACACCTCGAACAGCGCATGCGCGAATTAGCGAGGATTCGCGATCGGCGGACGCCACATCGCGGGGTCGAGAGAGTTCGGACAGAGTGTTTTGGAAATTCTTGCCGAAGGGAGCTGTGGCATCGCCTGCGCTTTCGCCCCGTTTTTTTCTCTCCTCTCAAGGGTGACCTGTCCATTTTGTCAAAAGGAAAATCTGTGTTTTCCTTTCATCACCTCTCGCTGCCACCACCTCTTCCCGAAAAGTCCTTTTCTCCGTCCCTATCTGAAATACCTCAGTCTACGCTACGCATTGCGGTATCGCGACAAGACTGAGGGCATTTCTGATACGCAGGGACCATAGAGGCGGGACTCGTTCCGCTCAAAAGTTAACTTCATGTTTTGGTGTTCTAACAGCAATTAATTTTCAGAAATTAAATTCTCAGTGCCAATATCGTTCCACTATCCTCAGTTTTAGCTCAGTCCTTTCCTCCAATTATGGCTTGTTTTAGCTTACGGTCAGAAAATGGTGCTCCAAAAATAGCATTACAGAGTTTATTTTCCAAGCTTATTCATAGTATACCAATGGTTAGTTGAGTTTTTTGTCACCAAGATTCATCAAAATTGTGCATAAATACTTTATTGCTTTTTGCCATGTGCATTTATTGGCTTATAAAGCTCTTGCTTTGTCCCTTTTAATCATGTTAATCCGTTTGAGTTTTCGAGATTTTAATCTTTAAATATGACAGACATTTTTGTGGATGGTTTGAACTTAAATTTTTTTTTTGTCATAAGGCAAAAATAAACTTTGAATGAAGCTTTACTCTTTGATTGAATGAAATATTAATTGGCAATTACTGAGTCAAATCAATGCATGTAGAAATGGTAGAAATTCATAAAACCAATCCTTCAGAGAAGATGTGAAGCTTATTTTATGGTATAACTCTTGAAATTTAGTTAGGTAGTGATATATTTACCTCATTGTGAGAGACTACTTTCAAAGAATAATTGGGATGTTTGTCCTACCTCATTTTTTTTTGGGTAGCAAAGGAGGAGTTTTTGCAATTGACTCTTTGCAGATGATGAGAGAGAGGTGCAGTGGATTCTCTCATTGCTGGAGTGAAATCATAAATTGACTATGGTATGCACACAAGTGGCGGAGCAACCAATAACCTCTAATGCTCTGGCCGTTCCACATCGCATTGAGCTACCTCTAGCCTCTCTGGGCCAGAGGTATTTTGTTACTTACTTCAGCCTAATGGTCACTGCGTGTGGTATGCCCTCTTCAACTCCACACAATTGAAATCATGTGCTCCCCTCAATTTTTTCAGGGTGGACATATTCTTGTTTAAAAAGTCAGAAATGCAAAAAATTGGACTTCTGCCATTTTTACAAGTCTTACTTCAATGAGTATCTGTCAGTTTCCTTAGGCATTGTAAACTTGCATTTTTTCTTAATGAACTAGGTTGATGCATGTTACCAGTACCGTATCTATTTCGTAATTCTATATTTTTTCTTATGGTTTACATTTTGTTGCATACTCTCTACCCTCTTATTATCGATTGGCATCATTAAGCACCGACTGTTGGCTACTTGTTTTTTCACTCAATACAAGCAAAAATTTAAAAATATATTTTCAAAGAAATATGATTCAATCTCTCAAAATTATCCTAGATAACGCTTAAGGAAGTGCAGTTGATTTCCTTTCCCATTCAGAAAAAATTGCTTCTTAACTTTAATTTGCCATCTTCCTTATCTGGATCTTCATCCTCTATTCTTAGCAATCAACCATCAGAGAAATTGCCCACATCTCGGTTCCTTTCTCAGTGAGGTTGGAAAATTAAGCTCAAATCGCAAAAACAAGCTGTAACCAGAGCTGTAACAGGTTTACCTTGAGAATCATTTATCTCAAGCTCATTTGCTTTCATACTCATACACAGAGGGTCTTTTTGAAAGTTGCAGTTTTTTCTCTCCGCAGATTACTTCCCTTGTTTCCGGACATTTATTCGAATAGCAATGGTTTAAATAACTACAAATTTGTCCTTTTAACAAAATAATACTGCCACTCAAGTTACTGTATGAATTTTATGTTAATTGACTTGCTCGTTTGCACCAAGTTAACGTTTGTGTAAGATTGACACCAAGAGCAAGTTACCTATACCGCTGTAATCAACCCTGCTTTTTATGTCAAACACAAATCGGTGTTACATTATCAGCTGTACTCCGCAGGAATCGAACTCATTTTTTTGTTCCAGTAGTGTTCTAAATCTTACCCTCCTACACTTGCTTTAAATTATGTCTATTCCAGTAAGTAATTTTGTTCATAATTATTGCATTTCCAAACACCGAATGTCATTCTCTTTTGGTATCAATCGTCCACTCGGAATTCCTTTTGCTCATTTCCCTAAATGGTTTGCTGTTAAAAGTGCTGATACCAAGAACCTATCAATTTGTTCAAGTTTTGACATTGTAACACTCATTGACCACTGTTTGTCTTTAAAATACACTTTTCTGCAATCGTAAACCTAAAAATTGATGCAACTTAAAAAGAATCATTAAATCAGTCCGAGTATTTTTCATTATAACTTTTCTTGTAAAGAAAAACTTTAATACTTGTGGGTTGCATGTTGAAAATTGAAGGAAAAGATGAATTCCCAGCTACAAATTTTAAAGGAAGGACAACATAGAATCGTTAATAGCAATAGTTTTTTTTGAGCAACAGAAATTTGTTTACCTGATTTCTGCATCTTACAGCATTGCGTTCAAATTCTCAACTGCATAATGAGATTTATAGAGGGACGCAAGAAATATTGAATCATAATTTTAGATCAAAAGGTAGTTAAACCTAATCTTGCTGCCCTTCCTTCTTTAAACAACCAGTGTCTCCAATAGTCAAAGTGCTTATATTCCGAATTTTGCAATGACTGGTCTTTAGATTATCATGATTTCAACTCAGGGTACCTAATAAATTCCCTAAGCTCCTTTCTTCAGATTGGCCCCACAAAATTCAGGACTCTAATTTCACTAGCTTTGCTCAGAGGACTAATCACCATTTTCCAGTACAGCAAAGCAACTGAATCCTCCGATTGTGTATTTGTTGTTTGGAAATATTGCGCCATTTTTATCTAGTGTCTTGTTTTTTAAATTCATTATTTTTATATTTCATAAACACAAAGGAGATTAAAGTAACCAATTACCTTTTCTTTATGCCTTCAGGAGAAATTTATTTTGATAACGACTAAGTATTAAAGTACTTACTCAGTATAGATAGTGGCCGACAGTTTTGATCCATAACTGTTCCAAATTTGGTTATGTTTATCTATCTTGAATTATTTTGGTAAAAACAGCTATTAAAAATGTATGAAACCCTATTTTCAAGAAAACATGCTTAAATTGGAGTGAGGGTCAGTTATATTTGGATAGCTCTCTGAAACTTTGCCGAAATGCTGCTGCAGCATATCCCTTATAAATTGACTCCGTGACTATACGATTTTCTCAGTACTTGAAGTAAAAGTTATTCCCCATACATGTTTGCTGTAGTAAAAATTTCAGATGCTCGTAATTTTATATTTATTTGTGATTGCAGTTTTTGCAGTAGTTACTCTGTGAGAGCAGAGAAAGTACTCTACCTTTATTTTGTCTGCCAAATTGCTCATGCTTTATTCTATTTTTATTTCAAACTCTAGATGAGAGTTCTTCTGTATTATTAGAGCTATATTTTTTTCTTACAGATACCTACCTACTAAAATAATACCTAAGAGATGAATAACAAAAAAATTAAAATCTTTTGAGTAAATTTATTTTTTAATTTATATTTTCTGTAGAAGTTGAAGAAAATTTACGGATATCTGACGTTTTGAAACATTTAACATTGAAAATAAGAAAATTATTTTTGTACATGCTTCACTTGTTCCACTCTAATATTAAATATTTTTGCACCTGTAAATATTTGTCGAGGCAAGTTTTCCTTCTTCTGTAGCCAGTGTTGCAGTTGACTTGAATTAGCTATATTTCCCCCTTTTCTTAATTTTCTCAAGTTGTACATATTGTAGTATATAGCAACTCAAGAAAAAAGTTCAGAAAAAAAATTGCATCAATTATTTTTATGAAATCATTCTAATTTTATTTATCCAAGATATTTTAATTATTAAAAAAAGTGAAAAATTGAAAAAGAAAAAAATTAATCCTAATGATTTACCATTATAATTCTCTTTTGTTGATTGTTTGGTTCCCTATTATTTCGTTTTTATTATTTGGACCAGTTTATGCTGAAAGGAACTATGAGTGTAGGTTTTGTGTGCAACATAGATCCTTTTAGCATAAATACGTCCATTCATCCCTTCCAGAAATTAAATGGAAAAAGGACCTTAAATTTTTACTTCTCTGTTCCCTCCGTTTCTCAATTGCTCTCCCTGTCCTATACTTTCTGATTTAAGGGAACTATCAGCGTAAGAACATTTTATTAAGACTTGTGATGTACTCTGGAGTTATATTCAATTCTATAATTTTTTGTGCATTTTAAAATCCTCTCATTAGTTATCGAGATAGTAATTTTAACTTCAGTGTTAAAATTAACTATAAGCTGACCCAATTGATAACCCTTAAGCGCAAAACAAAATCCCTCCCCCCACAATCCTCTATAATGAAATAAGTAACATTTTTGTTCACAATGATTTTGCATACAGTGGGCTAATTATTGAAATTTATAGACAAAGAAGACACAAGGAGGAGGGAGTGATCCTATTGGTTTAAATGGGTGGTTCTTACAGATTAAGGAAGAAAATGATGGCATAACTGCTCATTAGTCTATTACCTACCTCCTTTGTCCATTGCAACCTTCTGCTTCTACCAATACCTTCTCAATGTATCCCTCTTGTCTGCTTTGTCTATAGCCTTATCCATTAATTTCAAAAATCGGTCCACTGCTTTGAGAATTGAGTCTCAATTGTAAACCTACTTAATTTTAGATACATAGAATAGTATCTGCTATGTTTAAAATTGGACAAGAATCCACTTTCAAAGTTTAAATTGAGAGCATACTTTAACGTAGCTTTATAGTTTTGTGTTCACTTTGTAAGCTTTCTTAAGTTCCTTTTTTTCCTTGGAAATTTGTTTAAAAATAACCAGCTGTACAAGAAAGTAACTTTCAGGTAATATTCAGTTTTTCAGAAAATAGAAATGTATCTCTTCCTCACTCTGATATGAATTTTTTGCCTATCTTTATCGAAGCAGTCAGAATAGCAGCAGGATCATTTTCTGTATTTTCTATTTGTGATATAAAGTCTGTAGGTGAAGTTGGCGCAACTTAATATTCATCAACAAATCAAGCTGAAAAAGGAATTTTTTTTCTGTGGTCCGCCTAATCACTTTATTCTGATCATCCCTAAGAGGTTTAAGAAAGTTGGTCTTCTTTCTGGTGCAAAAAACTCATGTGCAATCCAATTGTTGTTTTTATGTTTGAAAAAAAAAAAAAATGCGTTTTAATATTGAATCTCTATTTTTGAAATGGTAGAATTGATGTCTAGATCAGCTAATCAAAAAAGTTTGGCTAAACTTCAACGTTGTTGCGAATAAAGTGATTTTACAAATCTTTAAAATGTCAGGGCTATATTCTTGATCAGCTTTTATTTTTCTAATGTTTTACTTCCAACTTATTTTACCTCGGATGGACAAGAGTATTTCTGATAATTTCTGAATTTGCACATTATGGGGTCTAAAATTCTGTTCTTGATAATGGAAGTATATTCTTGTTTTTCATTGCCTTTCTTCTTGAAGCTGAGAACACTGGCATAATGTGGGATGATTTTCCCCAGAACTGTAGAATATGAGAATTCTACATCTAGTTTCTCAGATTTATGAACACACTCAGTGGCGACTCCTGAAAGTTGGCAACACTGTTCTCCCTCCATTTACTTATAAAGGTAAGGAAGCTTACCTCACCAAAAAGCGATATTTTTAATGAATTTAAATGAAGGAAATACAGTGTTCCCTACTTACTTCTTTCAATGAATTTTTTCTTCTCTTTATACCACCCATGACTGTTTGAACACATTAAGAACACGTCTTTTCTTGTACGCTTACACTCGGTTGTTTCAAGTACTGATACGAAGGATTAAGGTACTTCAAAATTTCTGTTCCAAGAAAACATAAACCTTCTTTATTGTTCAAAAGTCGNCCCCCCCCCGCCCTCAGTATTTTCTTCCAAGTTACTGAAATCCTCATTTCGAATTCATCATTTTACTAATTTACTCTTTAACTGTCTTCTGCCACTACTTTGCTGTATGGCAAAAGTATGAACCTTTATTTCGTCATTAGTAGCTTTGTACAATTTAAGTGTTCCATCTCCTCAATTCAGAAAAAGGGATAAATAGTGCCTCTGTTGCTGACACAGAACGAAGAGAGCTCGTTATGTATTTTTCTTTCAATAGTTGATGCTCAGGCTTATCGGTTTAATCCAAAATTCTCTTGTCAATATAGGCTTGTCATTTTTTATTAAAACAGAATCCTCTCTATTGTAGATCCAGCTTTGAGGTATCCAAAAATTTCAAAAAATTGATCACCAAAGCTTGTCCCTGACACATCATGTCATTTTCCTAGTTTTTTGAAAGTCAAATTCAGTACTTATTAAACATTAAATTTATGTTGAGAGTAAGAGTACAACTTTTTTTACAAGGTACATTTAGCCAATGAGGCATGAAGTAAGTTGCGCTTTTCATATTTATTTAGTCACCATCATTTAGGTCAGCAGAGAGATAGCTACAACATATTATGGTTTATGAACCATAGTTTGTTATAGTAGTTAATATGTATCATTGTCATGAATGTAGAACTTTTCGCAAGTTTTTCATGTACACCATCCAGAGTGTATGTATTCTATTTGCTTTTGTAGGCACACGTATGTTAATGTCTCATTCTGTGAATCTCCTGTATGATATTCAATTTCCTCAAAAAAAAAAGAAAAGAAAAAAAAAAAAACACTGCAAGATGTTCAGTAAAGTCATCTGAGAATGTTATATTTATTTTTCTCTCTTCCTATTTCTCTTCTTATTTTTCTTTAATGATGCAAACAAACTCAAAATTCTCAGTGAATTTGGAAGCCGATTTTTCCAAAAAATAGAGGAGGATTTTGAAACTACTAATGCAAGTCTGTATATTTTATGTGTGTAGGTGTACGCTTTGATGATTTGAAAGGAAGTGGAATGTGAAGAGAAAAAGTATTTTTTTAAAGATGAGGAAAACTATTTGTTAAAGTGAAACAATTATTTTTTCAAGTTTTATCTTAATGTTTGTGAAGTTGTGTTTCAGCGACCGTGATTTTTGTTTCGTTAGAAAAATCAACCTCTTTTTATTATTCATCTGTTCATTTATTTATTTTTTTTAAAGCTACAAGAAGTAATACTTGTTTGTTTTGATTATATTTTGTACTCTTGTAAAAATGTAATTGATGATTACCTTCATTTACAGAAAAATCCCTTGTTCCCCTCTCCTTCTTTTAACATTATAATTATTTATTTATTTATTATTATTTTTTTAATATTATTGTGTATTATCCTAATTTTGGTTATGTAAAAAAGATAAATTATATTGTTCATTTTTTATTATTACTTTAAGGTTTTATTAAAAAAAAAATTAAATTTTACATTGAGCAGTTAATTCTTTCACCCTTCCTCCTGAGCCTCATTCTTCCCGTCTTTGGTGAGATTAAACATCTGCTTCTTCCAGCTAGATATTAAATGAATTTAAACTTTTATTTTACTAAATGCCCGCGCGCGTAGAAACCTCAAGGTTTATTTCAAAAGCAGAAATTTAAAAGTTTTTTCTTAAAGTAAATAGAAGTAGAAAAACATAGCAAGTCTGTTGATATCAAGAAAAGCATGTTGCATTGCTTTAAAATCCCAAAACCAGGTAGAAAATGAATGCTTAACCTTTTAAAATAATGCATATCATCTCAGATTTTTGCAGGCATGCCTAATTGATAATACACCAAAGTTGAGACAATTTAAGCTTCCAAAGTGAAAACAGGTTCTCATATGAAAACCTGCCCATCTGCTCAAGTTGGTTAGTGAGGGTGATACTTCAACTTCTAGCTACCGAATTAGCTTCTCTTATCATTAAAATAATATAGATTTAGAGGAATAATTCGTCATCTCCCGCACAATGGAACTTACTCCACTCCAAGTTTGCCAAATTGACTCAAAGAGGTAATTTATTTAACAGAATTGCACATGTGAAATTTGAATCCAATTTTTTTTTTTTTTTTTTTTTTTGCATGAAATCTGAGAAAAAATCAGTGCAATTTTCAGTAAGGAATGCTCAAGATTCTCTTATTTATTGAGCAATTTACGAGGAAAAATTTGGCAACATTGAAATGGAATTAAGTTCTTTTGCGAGGGCAACAACGAATAGTGCATATTTTCTTAGTGTTGTGTAGACCTCTCTCTTTCTACAGATCAGCTTTAAAGAAGAAAATTCATTACAGTTTTCATGAGGACCTCTTTGATTTCTAAACAAGGGGTGTACTAAGGGCCACGTAATGGTCAGTGTTTCTTCAGCGATGAGTCGGAAGGTCTCAAAAGATTTAAGTATTGCTCAGGGATGGGCATATTTCAGAGAAGTTGGGCCGTTTTGATATCATATTCCTTTATAGCGATGGATCAAAACGTGTTCCAGGTCATCATACCTTATAGGTATTTAATTTTTTTGCGAGAAAAACTTTTGGTTGTATAGTATATTGCATGGGCATCAAGTAGAAAATTTGGCCGTTTTGATATCACTTACTTTTAAATGATGAATCCAAAACGGTACCGCCATCATATATTTTGGGTGTCTGGTTTTTTTTTTTTTTTTTTTTTTCTTCTTGGTAGTCTAATATGTCTATTCAAAATTTTGTCTAGTGCCAATTTGATGGATAGGATTAAGTTCCCCTTGACGAGCGATATGAGTGAAATTATTGAATTCATTTGGATTCCCCATCAGATTTGTATTTGCTCACTCACTATCAGTCAGAATCTTTAAATCGCCTTCAAATCACGAAAATACAAAAGTGCATACATGCGTGCAAGTGACTCTTACTAATCTGCATTTCAAAGCGTTGTAGCGTAGTGAGCCATTAAATTGGGCCTCTCATTGGTCGCATCCTAACCTAAGGTCATTTTCCACCAATCAGAGCTTCAGTTTGATGGCTCAATTTGATTGTGTAACTGAACCTTCAGTAGTGGTTAACTTTTTAGGGGGAGTTTTTTAGTGTTCAAATAAATAAAACGATTTCTAGGCCACGCCCATTATCAGTATCACAAACGGAGAATAAACATTTGTTTTGATGACGTATTTCGTAAACGGTTTACGAATTTCGTCAACAGTTGACAGACGAAAATTCGCTTGTTGACTCGTCCGAGTCCGACATCGTGCAATCCGTGCAACTCCTTTCGTTCCTTCGTTCCCTTCCTCCCTCATCGAGCTGAAAAATGGCCGACACCAAATTGTACGATATTTTAGGAGTTCGTAGTAATGCTTCAGATGGCGAAATCAAGAAAGTAAGTGCTCATTTGCGATATTTACAGTACTCTTTTCAATTTCAAGGTTTCATTACGATTCTTTAACCACTTTCAGTCGCCTAATGAAGTCACTGAAGATGACCACTTCTTATGACAGAAGGTCTCTCTTTCTGTTCAACCGGGGAACGTATCATCCTTTACTCACAGCGTAAATTTTCTTAAAATTTAATAATTCTTCATCAGATTCTTCTGTTCATCAAACTTTGCCGCAATATTTCACTTGTGAAATAAAGGAGCTGTTCATCCTCACCCTTATACTGAAAGTACCTACTCATCTCACAACCTCGTATCAAAGTTAAGCCTTTGTCTGCCAATTCACCCTGCATTTCAATCCATCATTTTCTCTTCCTTCTCTCTGATGGTTTTAAGCTCTCTGAGTTCTGGTTGTTACCATATAATGGCCAGAAGTTTTATGCAAGTTACCTCAGGTTTCTATTGCTGAGGCTGCTACTCGATGCCCTTTGTTTACGTCTGAACCTCCGACTGATAATGCCCATCGACACCTATGTGCCATGTCATGGAATAAGTGGTACAGTTTCTAATTGAGTGGAGATGTGTCAGCAAGAGAGCATATCGACGGTGAAACTACCAAACCACGTATCTCGGTTTGCGACGTCGCAGACTTCCTGTCATACTTTATTTTTCAAATGAAAAACTACTTAACGTCCACTCTTGAAAATTTCTGTGATTTTTCCTCTTCGTGCGGAGAAAATTCCGTGAAAATTTCAAGGAATGATATTGATTTGGTCTACTTCAAAAAAATAAAATGTGAGCGTAGATTTTTAAACACCGCAAACGAGATACGTGGTTTGGTAGTTTCACCGTCGATATGCTTTTCTCCGGCAAGTATCTCCTTTATATTACCTTTGCCAGTTTGGGGAATAGCGTGAAGATTTAGCGTTAGTACATGAAAGCAGGTAGAGAAAATGAAACTGCTTTACCCCTTGTGAGTGACTAAATAAATGCAGAAATTTTAAGGCAACAGCTTTGTCTTGAAATGGCTCAACTAAACTCAATCTACTCATGCTTTTGAACCAACTGTATCTTGAGAATGTTAATACACTCGATACTGTGCTATTACTCTCACTCCAGCGCACACTCCAATAATGGGGAAACTCACTGGAGTCGATGGATATCATTTTAGCTACGAAAGATGTCGTCATCAGAAATTTCCATCTTTATCTGGTCACGCATGGTTTCCGAAGCATGGTTCTCTTTGTATGCCAGACCTAATAGGAACTAATTAAATACCACTACTTATCTCATAATAGGTAGGGCTTGCTCGTTGTAAGTCGATACTAAAGTCAAGAATGATCCCTGTCACCATTCATCAATTATGTAATCTGATTGCATGTATTGACCTGTGGAGTGGTGCTGATTCGGAGCTAATCAGAGATTAACTTTTGTCTTTGCAAACGATGAGTAGCTTCAGGCTTCATCAACGAGCTGACCTTGGATTAATATCAATAGAATGAAGTTCAGTCATAGAAATCTGGCAACATTAGCTATTCTTGTGAGAGCTCTTTCAATGTACAGTTATGAAGATGCGAGTTATATGAAATAAAATAATGGAAAAAGACAGATACCATCAAAGGTATCTAATTGTAGATAATACTTAATTGCACTGTCTCCTACCTGAATCCTGTAGATAATACTTAACTGTCTTGTCTCCTACTTGAATCCATCAGTATTTGGTGTCGATATTTATGAAGAAACGTTGAACTCATCCCTGAGATATCACTATTGCTAGCAAACAGTGCTTTTTACGTGACTCTGAGATAGCTTTAAGATTTTATACTTTATTTTTAATAAACATGATGATTGTGAAACTACCAGACCATGTATCTCGTTTGCAGTGTTTAAAAATATTCGCAGCCTCCATTTTACGTACGAGATTCATGAAAGAGAAGAAACCAATATCATTCTTTGAAGTTTTTACCAATTTTTCTTCACACAGCGAAGAAAAATTACGGAATTTTTCAAGCATTGACATTGAGTAACAGTCTATGAGCTCTTTTTGTTAGATCTAGTAGTTAATTTAATGATTAAATGGCTGTTTTTCCTATTTTTCCAGGCTTATCATAAGCTAGCAAAGGAATGTCATCCAGACAAAAATCCCAGCGCAGGCGAAAAATTCAAAGAAATATCATATGCTTACGATGTCCTCTCTGATTCTTCAAAGCGATCTATTTATGATCAGTATGGCATTAAGGGTTTACAAGAAGGAGCTGGTAGCCATGCAGCAAGTCATGATTTCTTCTCCCAGGTTTTCGGTGGAGGAGGTCTGTTCGGAGGTTTAGATGACTTTCTTGGTGGACGCAGCAGGAGTCGAAAAGCAGAGCCAGTAGTTCACAATCTCAAGTAAGATTCACCATATACACTCCTCATTTCATGTTTCTAATGCTCAGTTCCTCCAATATTTTCCTCTATTCTAATTTCCATCACAATGCTTTTGCTTGCTGTTTGGCTAGAATAGCGTTATTGATCATCCTTATCCTAACAAACAAGTGCACCAAATTTGGTTATAATCTGATAATTTTGTGAGAAATGTCAACACAACATGTGCTCTGCAGAAAGGCCAAATGAATGCGCTTGGAGACAGCTTGCTGCGCAATGGCGGTCAGTAGCTCGGCCCGATCCACAGGAGTGCAGGAATTTCCAGGCCTTCCTCCAAATTCAATAAACTTTTCCCAGTTTTCAACCAAAATTTTCATGATCACTTCCTGCAAGACCGGGAAAAAAACATACCATCCAAAATTTTGGGCTCTTCTACCTCTAGTACACTGCACTCTTGCGAGGGTTCCGTCCTCTACATGACCAGCCCGGTCGCATGGTCAGGAAGTTCCTGCACCCCCGCACAACAAAGAGCACTGCATCATAGCCCCTGGTGTTTTGCCACTGCTCCCTTCCGCCAGCCCTCTCCTGCAACAGGCACTGAGAACTACAGTTTACTCCAAACATCTAGAATGGCGTGTTTCACAAATTGCATGCACTGTTTCATTGTATTTGTCTCCCAAAGTTACTATTAGTGAAAGGTCAGATCGACTCAAATTGCTGCCCCAAGTAAAAAGAACCCTCAGATCACTTTTCATTTATTCTATTTCCAAACTGCTTATCAATGAAAATTTTTTGATTCTAGGCTTTTTCCCCCTCTAAAGGACGTGTGTTACAATTACCAACAAAATTAGTTGCAAAATACCAATTCCTCTTTGAATTGTCGTTGTGAAAGCTTTGAATGCATTTTTCTCAACACCTACTCTCAGTATAAGAGCCTTTTTTTCATATAATGCTTCAACTATAATCAGAGATCTCTTTTCATGCCTGTAAGCTGCTGCTTTGTTTACCTTAAATTTTGCCAACAATCTCAAATGGTACCCAAGCTATGATATTTATCGATTTTCCGTCTCAATTTATTTTCTGATTTCTTCAAGCAGTTCACATTTCTTTTGATTGTGGACCTGTGGAGTTACAAAATTAAATTAAAGTTCAAGAATCTGGCAAAAATGTTAGTTTAGAGTGTTTGCTTTGCAGATGATATCTTTTATTACCTCATTTTTTTGTAATTTATCGTTCTAGAGTTTCACTAGAGGACTTGTATAATGGGAAAACATCAAAACTGCAGCTCATGCGACTTATCTTGTGCAAACCCTGTAAGGGGTAAGTGTTTTTGTAGTTTTCTTTCAATTTCTTTCATACTTCTCTTTTTTTTTCCTTCTTTTTTTAGCGCTACAATGTCAAATCAATTTCATGCAAGTTTGGTAACAGTGGTGAAATACCTAATAAAGAGTGTAAAGAGGGGTGCTGAAAAGCTCACGTGCCTGCGCCCTGGCTTCCATGTGGCAAGAGTTAATCTGTCGCTTGTCAAAATTTTTCAAAAATGCTTCTTTTGTATTTTCTCATTCATTGGTTATTTTTTCATGCCAAAAATGAGATAAAAACTAAGAAATGTGTAGATTTTAAAAATTCTTTATCTTAGAACACTTTTTGTACCTTGCAGCAGAGTGAGATAATATCTTAAGAGTGAGGAAATTTTGAGGCTAAGATATTGACTAATTATGCACAGAAAAATTCTATACACCTCTGAATGTGAAGAAGGGTTTTTCTTATAACTGTGGAGTTTGTCGGTAAAAATGGATGGTTCTTGCAATCTTGTTTCAGTTTTTACTCGTAGCACTATTGTTTAGCAATGTGGGCCCACCATTTTAAAGTTTTCTCGCAACAAGTGATTTCATCTCCACTTAGTATCCAGTTTGATTCAAATTATGTAGAATGTTGCACTGTCCAGCTGCATTGCATGGCGCTCCCTCCATGTTGTCGAAGAACTCCTCAATTATTGTGGCCAGCGCTTTAGTTTTGTTTTTCTTTTGCTCTATATCCGACTCACCCCTCAACCTTTGAGTTGTACGAGGATGAAAGAGGCAAGCTACCATATGACTCACTTTTTTCCTTCCCGCTTAGGGTTCAAAGGTATTTCAAGTAAAAAACAAGTGAGAAACACGATTTCAGTGCTTGCTACTCATCACTGCCCAATGGAGACCAGGAGCAAACATAACAAATTTTTCATTGAACCATGCTGTCTACTTTACAGTTAAATTTCATTGAATGCTTTGTGTTTCTAGATCGGGATCTAAAACTGGTCAGCCTTCCACGTGTCCCTCTTGTCGAGGTCGAGGATATAAAGTTTTCCCCTTCGGTAATTCTCAGAGAATTCAGATGCAGTGTGATGAATGCGTCAATGGTATGAAAATCTACTATCACTCCAATTATTACAGATATAATTTTGTTAACATTCTCAATAATTTTACAGTGTTTGTTCAGGAGGTTGATTCGAAACTCTCGTTTTGCTCTCTCTTGATTTTCTTAAAATTCAATATCCCGAGTGGTAATCAAATATTGATATTTGTTAATATTTTTAAAAGGGCTGTAGAGATTTGTATGGGTTTTTCGATAACTTTCTTTAATTGTGCAGATGTGTTGCTGATGGCCAGACTTTCCGTTACCTAATACTTTGTAATAAATCGCCTGCATATACATTGAAGTTGATAAAATTAACATCTAAATGACTTTTATTTGTGATGCACCTGAGATTAAAGGGATTTATAGGAGAAAAAGTTAAAATTGAGATAACCATGTTCTTGCCCGAAAGAGCTGACCGCACATTTGCTCCAAAAATCACTAAAAAATTCCCAAAACCAACTTACCCACAGCATTTTGAAGTTTGCAAACGAAAAAAACGTGATTTCGAGAAAACACGGTTAAAGTATTAAATCCATTTTACCCGAAGAATTTGGCCTCTCTATTATTAAATATTACTTCTCCATCATTAAGCATTAGACAACAGCCACGCTCAGCTGAGTTGAGATCTAGTCCTCCAGCTGTAGTCAGTTTTAACTTTCTTCACTTAAAACGCTTGTATCATCCTTTAAAATGCCAATCATGTCTTAAAATATGAGCTACATGTTCTTGAGCTACGTAGAAATTGAGTAGCATCAAAAACTGAAAATCGATAATTTTGACCGAAGCTGCATTCTGTGAAACTCCTAAAAAATTTGGCAACTCACCTTAAGTCCCCTACCACTCAGGGGCGTCACATTTTTTTGTTTTACTGACAACAAAATTTCCAGTATTCAAGTGCCAACACTGTTTGTAAAAAAATGAAAAAATAGGTAGAGCTCTCTCTAGCATATGCCTTTGTGATGAGGAGTGAATCCAACATTTTGCATCTTTTGTATCTGTAAAGTTTCTTTTATTTGCCCACTTTCCTTGCAATTTAAGTTGAGAATATTGATGTTTAAATCGCCTTTGTGATGGAAACATGTAGAGTAAAACCATGTCTAATGTGGATGAATTTCGTTGATAAAACTGCTGTAGGGGCAGAAGAATCGATCCGGAATTTTATTAAGGGCCTAGTATCAAGAAAAATGAGAAGAAGTGTGTCATTTGTCTTCTTGATCTCTCATTTATTTGAGTTACTAATACAAAATCAGTGAAAGCTTTTGAAATGGCATCAAGGTATAACTGCTTTGATGGTGGGATACGCTCCCTGGTGAAACCACTTCAGTAGAAGAGGAAGTAACGTAGCACAATTATTTTAGCAAGAGAGTAAGCTATTTATTAAAACCTTTTTAGCAGTAGAAAAAGTTCACCGAAATATTAGGTCAGGCTTGAAAAAAAGTTCTTCTGTGAAACATTAATGCAACGTATTTGTTATTGAGATTATTAAAAAAGAAATAGCTTCAATGAAATGTATTTAAATCACTAAAAGTTTTACCCTGCTCCTAATCATCAGTTAGCTCTCAATGGGATGGTCGTCATTTTTAAAAATTTTAGAAAGAAATTTGATTGGAACACTAGCTGCGACGTGTCAGGTTATGCCCGAAGAGAATTACTCTCACCTCAGAAATGAAACAATTAAATCTGCGTTCTAAATCCTGAGTGAAACAATTTGTTGCATAACCATGTCAACACTAAATTGATAGGGCCAAGTACCTAGTAATTAACCTAGATACTAAAATTAAGTGAAAAGAGCACATCAAAATCAAAAAGGAAGAATGTTAATATAAACTGAAGAAAATGAATTGGTTACTATGTAAAAGATCGCCATTTAGTATAGATAATAAGATATTCTTATATAAACAAATCATCCGCCCTACCTGGGCGTATTAAGCTCAGGTCTGGGGTTGTGCAGCACGGTCAAATTTAGAACCGATGCAGAGATCATAAAACTGAGAGCTCCGCACGACCATTGGAGCAAGATGGTACGAGCGGAATAAAGACATTCATAGAAACCTGGGAATGGAGACAGTTGCCCATTATATCTCTAAAGTAGCAACAAACAATGAGCATCGCCCTCACTCCCACCCCAATATAGAGGCTCTACAGCTCTTGGATAACTCCAACAAGCTGAGACGTCTTAAGAGAGCCAAATCATGGGAACTGGCGAGCCCCTGGGTCTGACTCCAAAATTATAGACTTAATTTTTGAATACTTGTATATAAGTTACTAGTCACTCAGTTGCTAGCATAATCAACCTTATTCAATATTTAATAGCATCGTATATAGTTCTTTTCCCAAGAAGTTAACAATAGGAAATCTAATAATAATAAAAAAAAGAAGAAAAAAAAAATATGAACCAAAATGTACTGAACTCAATTTTTCAATTCTGTCATTCCCCACCAAAATTTATCTCTCATGTTTGTTTCAGGTGAAGTTATTAGAAAAGAAGATCAGTGTACTAGTTGTAAGGGTCATAAAATCATTGAAGAACCTAAGATAATAGAAGTCCATGTAGATAAGGGTATGACAGAAAACCAAAAAATCTATTTCAAGGGAGAAGGCAATCAGGGTGTAAGTATTTTTAATTGATTTAAACTATTATTCTTTTTCTTTTTAAACTTATGATCTCTAACTGGGCAAAATGCAGAAGTATAAAGTAAATATGATAATGCAGAGAAGACGGAAGGAATAGACGGATATAGTATCTGCATTATTCTTGCATCAGTGTGGTCAAAACTTGTGTCACGAGTTTGGAGTTTGTCACTAATTATCATCCAGCTCTTGGCCTATTAGTCCGAAAATCAATCTTTTAAGCTATAGAGGAGAGAAGTTGCCAAATTTTTCCCCTCTTTTTCATTACTTGAGCCCTCCTCGAGCATTAATGGCAGACAGAATACTTTAATGCACTTGGTTTTTTCATGAATTATCGCCGGCCCTTTTTTGAGTGCTGAAAGGAAGAGGGATCTCTTTGACTTATCATTACTTCACTAGTTTATTTGCTAGTTGAAGTATGGAAACTTCGACTGCGAATTGTGCGAAAATGGTGGTTCATAGAAACTTAGCCCTTGTTTTGACATATGATCAGGGTTGATAAAGGAGTAAAGTGCAAAAAAAAATTGCAAATTGGTGTAGGCATACATCTCCTTAAGCAGTTTGCATTATCCTTTGACAAGAAAGGACAAGAGTTCGGTCGCAGTTAGGCAGTCCGCACAGCTTTGGCAGAAATCAAAGTCAATTCTGTGGAAAGTAATAGTGATTGTGACCCACAGCAATCAGGCTCTCCACTCTGTCAGGATGGGTTGCTTACCCCAACTCCTGACCTTCTTGTCCAATCCAAAGAAAATGGTCGGTCTTATCAATAAAGCGCAATGAGTATCCTTGCACCCTCGCTTCTTGCTCTTTCAGAATCCACCAAGAATTTAGACAAATACAGTAAAACCTCGCTAAGTCGGTTTCCGGATAAGCCGGTAACCCGCTTTAGTCGGTAGAATCGCCCGGTCCCGTTTATCACCCGTATAACACAATGCTAAATAAGTCTCGGTATCTCGGTTTGGTCAAATTCTGAACCCGCTTAACTCGGTGAAATTTTTCCATCTCGACCTGTTTTTCTTCGATCGTCACCCGTGATCAAGCGTAGGTAGCGTTTCCGTGCGCGGTGCGGGTCGGGTCAAGTTACGCCACGAAGGGTGAGCGAATCTCCGAGAAAGCGCAGCGCAGTGCGAGAAACGACATCGGAAATAGAGAGATAAGGAATCAAAAACACTCGATAACGACACGAAAGATGAGAACAGTAGAGAATAGGATATCTGATACCGCGTGTTATCTTATCGCGCGTGTGAAAACACGCATGCATAATTAAGCAATTTCACGCATCGATGAGTTGACAGGTCGAGTCGGCACCGGCCCCTCTCCCCCTACCATCTTGCATTGCCCTTCCCCGCTCCCCCCAGGAATCTTCCGCAGAGTTTTTCGGGGATTTTAGCGAGTATTGATACGTTGCATTTTCAGTTCAACGACCCGCCATAGCGGGTGGCCGCGGCGCATCACCGCGCGGCATGCCGCGTGGGGTGCGCGGGGGATGATACGCAATGGGGTGCCGCGGCACCCCAACATACGATTAACCCGATGACTTCATGATGCCCTGACACTTACAACACGGAATTTCAAGTGCATCTCATGAAATTTTACTCTTTAGTACCATTTTCTTCGATCAAATGGCTCTCCTAAACACTCCTACAAGTCACTCTACACGCACGTTTGAGTTTGTCCAATTTAGGGCGAGTAATTTGAAACAGCGCGGCAGGAAAAGTGGCAGTCCGCGTAAGTCGGTAACCCGCTTAACTCGGTAAATTTCCTCGGTCCCGATGAAAACCGACTTAGCGAGGTTTCACTGTATAAACTTTTCAACCATGAACCCATGGGCTACATAAATATTAGAGGAAAAAATATCTGAGGGTTTAAAGTTGCCCTAATTTTCTAATAAGTCACAATTAAAATTCAAACTGTAACTGATTCAATGCAGTCTTACTTCTCATTTAAGTCTGGTCTGACAAAAGTGCCTTGGCAAAACAAGGCATAGTTCCTATTCGTTACTGTAATCGTCTCCAATGTATTTATCTCGTTTTTAGCCTGATCAAGAACCTGGTGACGTTGTGATAGTGTTGAAAGTGAAACCTCATGAAACATTCAAACTCAAATTCAGAGATTCAACAGACCTTTGCATGGAGCACTCCATAACAATCACGGAGGCCTTATGCGGATTTTCATTCTCAGTGAAACATCTTGATGGCAGAGTACTTCATATCAAACAACCCAGCGACTCTGTTGTCAAACCAGGTAAGAATTAAACAGGTTACTTTTTCCTTTGTCTGTCATCCGAAAAGCCCACTCTCAGCCTCTTGAATTAGTGGCAGAGTGTTCTCTGTCATTGTGTTGCTTGGTCTGTCTCTGAGGCCAAGTAGTTACAAGATAAAGCAGGAGTGCAGAAATTTCAAAAACGCTGCTTGTTCAACTGACATTTTTGCTGCTAAGCGGAATGTTGTCAAAAGTCAGCAGAAAATCTAAGACCATTCCAGTTAATTTTTGAAATTGATCTTCAAATTTTTCTTCAAAAAATACATTCTAATTTTCATCACTCGCCATGTTTTCTCCTCCATTATTCATGATGGACCTTCTGCTAATTTATGGAGCAATGTCCCCTTTTAGTAAGTGGACATCATCATAAAATGCTCTTATCATTTCACAAGCCTTACGTAGCATAACGTGAAGCAGATAGAACATGCATTATCACTGAGTTCTTTTGAAGGACCAAGTAGGTTTACAATACCAAGAAATTCAGCGCTGCCTAAATTTTGAAATTTTTTCTATAATGTTCCTTATAGCTTCCTGATCTTAATCAGTTTTTAAAATTGAACCTTCTTTATGCTGATCTCAAGAAAAGCAGGGCTGAAAAGTGAATTTTTCAGCATTTCTTCACAAACAGTATCTAACAGAATTTTTACAATATCTTACTGGTAATTAAAAAGTTCTTTAGTTTTCTTGTAGGCCGGAAAGATAAGACAGATGAACAGAATCAAATTCTTTTGAATGATAATCGCGTTCTGTGTAGCGTCCACACATAGCGGCATTCCTGCACCTGTATCAGAAATCGCGAGTGAGGAGGTCAAAACAAGAACTTTTTAGCCCTGCTTCTAAAGAGATTGACACATAGAAAGTTAGATTTCATAAGCGCTCGTGCTCAGGAGATCCTAATAAACATCATATAAACTAATATTAAAATTTACTCAGCCCAAATTTCTTGGTATTTTGTACGTAGTCCTTGCCGTTTTCACAACGTTTTATTAAAAAGTGCTTTTAAACATTTCAGAAATCTATCATTGCATTGTTTCAAGTAGATGAAATAAATGATGTTTCCAAAGAACCCTGCACAGAGCATGGGCTCAGCGGCTCTCTATGAAAGTCGATGAAACTTTAATAGATTGATATTAAGTTCATAATTAAGGGAAAGCCAAAAAATTAGCTCACTTCTACGAGTAGAGGCCGAGATATTCGCGATTGAACCCGGACTATTTTCTGTGCAGGGGAGGTAAATTCTCCACATCGCCTTACCTTGCTTGAACACTTCGGCCAGGAAACCCCCCCTCCCCACCAGGTAACTACGATGTCGCATTGTTTACACTCACTCCTTTCATTAGGACGTTCCGTTCGGGCTGTGCGATATGGAGTTCCCTCCTTCTCGCACCTCTCCCGTGCCAGCGCCGCCGGCCGGTTTAATCTTAAATGTAGTTGCTGAAACAGAATTGACAGATGCGGGGAGAGGGAGGGAGTACAGCATTCGCACCGGCCGAGCGCATAAGCACCTATCTTCACGTGAGTGACGTGAGGCCTGATCGAGAACGCCGAACAACGAGAGGAAAGGTGACTCGGAATTCCTCTGTCATGCTGCGGCATGATAGAAAATAGTCCGGATTCAATTGCGAATATCTCGGCTTCTACTCGCAAAAATGAGCTAATTTTTTGGCTTTCCCTTAATTATGAACTTTATAACAATCTATTAAAGTTTCATCGACTTTCATAGAGAGCCGCTGAGCCCATGCTCTGTGCAGGGTTCTTTCAATAAATCTCTTTTTTCAACAAGTTTGACTGACTGCTTTGTCCACAGGGGAAACGCGTGTAGTTGTTGGCGAAGGAATGCCGCAGTATAGAAATCCATACGAGAAGGGAAACCTCATCATTAGTTTCAATGTTACGTTCCCAGAAAATTATTTTGCTGATGAAGCAAAACTGAAAGTAAGATATAAAAAGTGATTTCTCCGTTTTCTTTTCTTTTGTCCTATATCTATTGCATATGTGTGTTTTCTCCATTCAAGTGCAGTCACCAAGCATGCTAATCAAGCTACTGAATGAGTTTTCCATAAAGATGGAAGAAGTTCAGAGGCAACCTAGTTCCAGATATGGAAACAGAATCAAACCAATCAGTCAACTCCTCTAAAACATGAAAATGACTATAGTCTCCTTTGGTTCTGCTGCGCCTTTGAATTTTTTTGCTTTGCAGTAATTTTAATTCTAACTCAAAAACAGGGAGATGTATCCATCAATCCTTGTTTCCAAAACACCAGAGGATTTCTAGTTTTTCAGGTCTGAGAGAAGGAAATGAGCAATGATAACAGAGTAAGGCTATGATAGAGACAATAAATGTTAAACCCCAGAAACAAGGAATAACTCACAGTTTAAAACCATAGACATCAAACAAATGAAGAAGTTGCTTTTAATTTGTATAGGTTAAAGTGTAGTGGAAATCGACTTTGAATGTTTACGTAGATCCCATTAGCATGTTAAAACTAAAAAACAAATTGTGGACTTGGTGGACAGTGCTTAATAGACTAAATGGCTCACTTCACATTTTCTCATTCCTAAGTCAGTATCATGCTTTTTCCTGTGAACCAGCATACTGCATAACTATCCCTTTCAATATTGGCACAGTCCCAATTTTCGTTGATCCATCTCCTTATAAAATTTTACAATCTTTAGTAGCTGTGAATAATTTATGGCTCTTAAAAGTTGTAGTTTTGCCCTTAAAATGAGACTTGCTGGCTAAAATGGCTCAAAAAATGATAGAGTAAAGTCAAACTACTGCATTATTCAATTCAACAAACTGAAGATGGAGCATCGTAGAAAGCTCCGTTTTTAGACTAGAACTTAGGAGATTCGTAAGGAAGCAAAGTAATGAGGCACTGACATTAAAAGTTTCTCAACATGCTGTAGATAGTCAACCTGTCCTGAAAGCCTTGAAACATCTCTTTCAGTCTGAACTCATGAGCTATCCCAGAGAACGAAAAACCAACCTCCCCAACTAAAGTATGCACTCCTCTAAACCTACATCAAAATCGAGGGGATGATAGTTGCACTTAGAAAATAGTGCTGTACAAATATTAGTTCGCATCTCTGATTTTTGTTCTCATGTGTAGATTGATGGATCTTCCCAGTCTTTGCTAATTTCATGATGATTTATTTGTTTTCTTTTTTCAGACGCTGGAATCACTTCTTCCCCCTCGACCTGCATTCAAAATGCCTACGGGAGAAAATGTGGAAGAAGTAAATCTACAGGATTATGATCCACATCAGCAGAAATCTCATTCAAGTCGTGGTGAAGCATATGCCAGCGACGATGAGGAAGGACACGGGCATCCTGGTGTGCAATGCGCCCAGCAGTAGGTTTGGAAGGAACATTATTTCTGTGATCGTACGACAGCTTCTGACTCTAAACTTTTCATTCGAACCTCCCTTTTTTTCTCACCCAATATCATTCTTTTGATTGGGGAGCTATTTCAATAATTTTGTACTATTACTAGAACTCGAAAATCTTATTTTTGTAAGCTTTGGCTAGCAAATGACTGTGGCAGACCACCAGCTATTGAGCATGTCTTTTCACCCTTTTTGGAGATGCCTTACTTCATTAAAAGCATACTAAACTCACCGAAGGACATTTTTTTGAACACCAGACTTAAGACGTATTTTTCAACTTCTAAGAAACAGGAAGATCAGCTAATAAGGATAATGGTACTTTTTCTTTTCTTGCTCTTCCATTTTACAGCTTAATGTAGATGGGCAGATTAAGAGGCAAGGAGAAACATTGCCAGTTTTAGTTTTATCATGACAATACCTTATTTATTTTTTTTCTTCAGGGAAATCAGTTGCTAACAAACTTTTAACCCAAAAAATACAGCCTATAGATTATTGCTCTTGACTCTTTCAGGAGCAGGGTGTCTTTAAAATCGTGCTGAAACATGCTCAGGCCCTCCAACAGATATTCAATTTTTAATCTTAGCAAAACCTAGCCCAGAAAAAATGTCGGCCGTCCTCTTTGATATGATGGCCTTATTAACTAAAGCGGTTTCCTGTACCGAGAATGTAGGTAGTTTTCTCAGGTTCATTCCATTGTGCTTGGCATGCCTACTGAGCCTCTCTTGTGAAAACTACCTCTCTTTAAGCATCAAAGTAGTTTAATTTTAGCATCAAAATACTCGGGCGCTGGAAGCTGTATAGTTTTTGGAGGATCAAGTCAGTGTGTACCTGGTTTTTTCTGAAATTTGTTGTTTGTTTCGGTGCAAAAAAATACGCAGTTTGGAAATTTGAATCATTGGTAATTTGTTGATTTTTTGCTGGAATAAATTTTGGTGTCTGACAAGAAAGTCTGAACTAGTTTCTCTGCAACTTAGTTTTAAAAATTGTTTAGACTCTATTCTTGGAAACTAATAATATTAATTCTATGATCATGGACTTGATCGGTATTGATGGAAATTATCTAGTTTTCAAATTCTTGTTTTGTACCTCGCCCAAAAGAAGCTAGTTAGCTTCAATGCCGTGAATCCTAAGAATTCATTCGTAACTTCGGTGTCAGCCTCTGTTTTAAAATTAAACTATTCGTATAAATAGCACTTGGTCTACTTATTTTTGATCCTTATTCCTAAAATTTTCCAACCAACTTCATTCCAACATAGCTCAGAAGGAAATGACTTTGTCCAAGTGCTGGTGTTGTAAGTGAATCTAGTCCATCTAGAAGGTACTTATTTGTCTTACCATTTGTAAGATTCTGCACTTATCCACATAATAAGAACCTGCCTCTCTGATTTTGTAGAATTTCCAGCCCTCACTAAGTGAGATATTGTACTTATGCATTAATGCAACCTGCGCTCTCTCTTGGATTTGTTCGATTTCAAGCTTTTAAACATTCTAAGTTTGGGAGTTCGATCAGCAAATCTATCGAGAACGTTAGTTTACAGTTACGGAATAGGAACTTAAATGGTCTCAGCCTTAAAAGAAAAGAAAAAAATCAGTGCTTGCCCTGGTGCTTCATTGAATTGTGTTGTTATGCAGCTCTGTCTATCTTATCCTCTATCTTTATCTATGATAACTTCCTCTATCTATTTACTCTAAAATTTTGAGTAACCAGTTCCTCATCAACTTCCCTTAGTATGTATCATCCATTTTCGGTCTGAAAAGTTTATTCAGCCGATGTTACCTCTGATCAAAAATGAGAGTTTATAGTTATTATTTATTCAAAAAATCTGTGATAGTTACATTTCAGCTTGTGCCTTCTCTCTCGCCTACGGTTCGTTCAGACAGCATGTCAAGCCGCTTGCCAAGCCCTATTACAAACATGTAATTTTTTCCTGTGAACTGCCATACGCAGCTAACGCTGATTGCTTTGATCTTCAGAAGCTTGTCGAATGGCGCGGCAGACTATGTGAATGCGCCTTAAGAATACCTTATGAAGTTCAAATGATGCTCGAACCCCAAACACTCCTATCAAGTTCATCTTGACTGTTCTTAACTGTACTTTGGACCGTAACTCAGATGAAAATTTCGTGACCCCAAGTACTTAAGCAGTTGTACTCTATCCATTTAAATGTCCTATGACTTCAACCTTAGCCTTTTATTAGTTTGTAATGGATTTTTAATCTCGGACAAAACAAGTGATAGCTAGGAATTGGTTGGTCTAGAAGATGGCGAAGTGCTAAAAAGTTTAACAGCAAAGAAAGCGACACGCGAGCAGTTATGAACAAATGCGAAACCTCCTTCGATGATGCAACATTGACATCGGTTGAATTTTTTCCTCTCCTCAAAAATGAAAGTAAGAGTCAAGCAGTTGAAATTGTAAGATCCCAACCATTAGAAATACTAAATTTTATGTTATAATTCCTTTAGGATGTATTGAAGGGAAATATTTCAAAACAGTGAACCCAACCTGCCTGCAAATTATACTTTCAGTCAACCAACCAACTGCCCAGATACATCTAATTTGGTTTGATTATTCTCAAAAGGTTGAGTTACACAAACCTCGAATTTTTGCAGTACAGAGAAAGAAAGAAGTAAATTATTGCAACTGACATTATGTATAAGTAAGTCTGAGGATTGCAGTTTTTGAAAAATTGAGTCAGAAGAGCTATTGTTCATTTCACAATTGTCATTTCAAAAAACATTACTGATAAAACTTCTGAATAAGTCTTAGAAGCTAGGTCTTCCAAAAAGTTTGAGAATGAACTTGCTCTATATGGAAGTGTTGGTAAATCTTCTTCTTTTCTCAAATAATTGTACAATCTATTAAATACATTTTTTCACAGCTCAATCTTTTGTCATTCATTTTAAGTAGCATCTTATGAAGTCAGCCTTCTCCTGGTTGGACATCTATCTGTCAATCAAAATCACTAGCCCTCTTTGTTTAAGAATGATTGATAAGTGTGACAAGGCTTCATTAAATGGACGTATTTCTGTCAAACGGAACTATGTGCGTTAAGACATGAGCCCTGAGACCCATAAGAATATATGCATAACAGGGCTCACGCCATAATGCGCATAATACCGTTTGGCAGAAATACGTCCAAATATCCCCGGACCGTTACGGGATTGTGTCTAAACTAACAAAGAGGAAAGAAAATCTTGAAAATGGCTCCCAGCATACGTATATTAAAATATTGGCAAAATGTCTCCTTAAGTTAATAATCTGAAGTTCGCCTTCAATTTCGCCGCTTAGGCAACAAGCATACCGAGGAATGGGAGGAAAACTAAAATTCATGAGCTTATTGTTAAACCGAACCGATGATGTTGTAAGCCCTCGGTAGGTATCGTCCAAGGTTTGCCTTCAATTTTACTGCTTAGGCAACCTCCGAGAGTGCAAATACTTACACTGGCCAACAATTCTTTTCTTTTTTGGATTTGCTAAAAATTTAGTAACCACATTCGGTTAGACCATTAAGACGGATCCCGAAGATGATTCCCACTCGTTCGTCCGGTTTCATTCCTTGTCTGAAGNGGGGGGGGGGGGGGGCGGCGCATTGTAGCAGATACCTAAACAATAATTTAGTGTTCGGGATTTTTTTTTTAAGAAATCGGAAATAACAGAGGCTCAAAATTTGAACTCTTTAAAAAAGATAGAATGAAGATTTCCGGGGAACTCGCTAAAATTTAGTTTTAATAATCGACTCACGTGCCGATTTACCATACTGCCGTGCTAAGGAGGAACGCCGTATGAGCCTTCAGACTTTGCCATATTTCCTCCTATAAAAACCGAAATTACTGGGAAAATTGTGAATACCTATTACCTTTTTTCCAAAAATTTCAGACATTTTTTTACGCAATTTAATCTGAAATATCTGACAATTTCAAGAAAAAATATGCATGCATGTTGTCCAAATACATGTTTTTTCAAGGAAAATTTGGCAACTCACGAATGATCATATGCGGCGTTCTTCCATCGCACAGCAGTATACTTGTGGCAAAAATTGGAATATTCGATCTTGAGGCAAAAAATCAATCGATTAATCGAATCCAACAGAATCGATGCGATTTAATCGAAGAAATCGATTAAAAATCCCAAACACTCAAATATATTACCTATGGACATCTATGTTCTATGACGGAGTCGGAACCTGTGCTGCCGTGCTAAGGAAGAACGCCGGTTTGAGAGTTGCCAAATTTCCTTCGATAAAAAGTTTATTTGTGAGAAAAGTTATTAATATTTTTTCTTGAAATTTGCAGGAACTTTCAGGGCCGGATTAAGGGGGTGGCCATATGGGCCGCGGCCCATGGCGGCAAATTTTGCAATTTTTTTAAATGTAGGTAGAAAAAAATATCGGATTTTGAAAAAAAAATTACAAACGAGAAAAGGCGACAAAATCTCTCATTTCCTGAGAGTATGGTAATTTTTAATTTTGTCGTCTTTCAGCGATTCAAGAGACAGCACCTATTAAGTAGTCGAATCAAGAGAGAAACCAAACACGCAATTTGGCCTGGAACGGCGCGGCGCAGAGAGCAATGATGACAAGGACTTGAGATGAAAAGGAGAAGCCCTCGGCGCGGCGATCGGCATGTAACACATATTAGCGCCTACAAGACTGCACGAATACTTCACGCATTGCATCAAACACAGTGCGGTCATTGCGGTCAGCGTGAAACGGATAGCGCCTACAAGAATGCATGAATACTTCACGCATTGCGCCAAACACAGTGCGGTCAGCGTGAAACGGATAGCGCCTAAAAGAATGCATGAATACTTCACGCATTGCGCCAAACACGGTGCGGTCTGCGCGGCGCGGCGGCGGAAGTTAAAATCATTAGACCACATTCATGTTTGTTCCTTCACAATTTTTTTGTTCATTTCTTATGAATGAAAGGCCCTATCCACACAAAGATAGGTTTACGAAACTCAACTTTTGCTAGTAGTGTTGACAGGACATTCCCAAAACATGTGTTCAACACGAGTATACGCGTCTTATGCACCCCTCCCCCGCTGGAACGTTTTTATTGATGTTTCAATACGAATAAGAAGGAGGCCGTAAAATACAGGCGGCCCATGGGCGGCAAATAGGTAAATCCGGCCCTGGGGACTTTAGGTGAAATTGCGAACAAAATTAACTAAAAATTTGGAAGGAAAATATTCGAAAGTTTACCAGGAAATTGGTGTTTTATCAAAGGTAATTTGGCAACGCCTGAAGGTTCATACGGCGTTCTTCCTTGGCACGGCAGTATGAATGAACCTCTTTTAGCTGTCAGCAGACGAGTTCGTCAACAGAGAGCGGCAACTAGCGGAATCACGATGCATGAGGGGGCGTCCTTGAGTCATTCCCACGTTTGGAAAACGGAAGTGGCCTGCGGGCTACCCGCTACCGGGCTCATACCCACTAATCCCCCCTCCCATTTCATCCTACCTCCTCCCTCCCAACAATATATTCATGAAATTTACCGGAGAGCCCTCCAATCTCGCCGGGAATAATTAGGAGCGGCGAAAAAGATTTCTATCTGGTTTTTTTTCCACATCGCAATGAAACTGACCATCATTACCTTCTTGTGTTCCTCGACATAATTCTTCCACCGATGACGTTCCCATCGGCCGAGCCATCGCTCTGAGAAAACGGTGGTTTCGTGTTCAAACATCCTCACCCGCACTTGACAATGCGTCTTTTCCCTCGCGAAAGAACGTAACTCCATTTCAATGTTGCCAAATTCCCCTCGCAAATCGCATATATTAGTTATTCACCGGGAGAATCTTGGGCATTTCTAACAGATCGTGAATGCCACTATATATTCAAGGTTACCACAGTCAGGGAAAACCGGGAAATGTCAGGGAATTTGAAAAAGTCATAGAAAACTTGGAAATGTCAGGGTAATATTGTTGTCACCTATAGAGATTTACTTAGAATGGGTTTGACGTTTCAAACAACAAATTTTTCCATTTATTTCTAATCATGTCTTTTTAACCATCTGACATGTATTTAATTGCCGGGGAATTTCATTTTCTAAGTTCTGTGGCAACCCTCCTGTGATTTTTCCTCAGATTTCACGCAATAGGTACTTAAGTAAGTAATCAGAAAAATTTTGGATTTTGTAAAATAAATAGTTTGAGTCAATTTGACAACCTAGAATGTAGTTACGTTCCTTCGTCCGGAAAACGACGAATGAAGGTGGAGGGGATTGGTCGGGTACAAAATTCGTACCTATTTATAATTTTAATTACGTACTCCCAACTACCCACTCGTTTGCGCACACATCAAATTATGCGAGTAATTAATGTCGGTCGTCACCGCGCTTTCTCGCCGTTCACGCGAAGCAAGTTCACCTCGCAAGGGTGGGATTATTTAGACAAAGTTCGTGCTTCCGGATCTCTGAGATTCGAACTTGCTCTTATAAATCACTTTGCCAGAATTCCAAGGCGCCGCCACCGCTGTTGTGTTCCTGAGCAATGTTCGTAACACTCACCTCTGAGTTTCAGGAGCCATGTGGCACGTCAAGTTCGATTTTTAGGGGCCGTAAGATTTTTTAGGGGCCAAATTGACTTTTTGCCTACATCTCACGGCGCATTAAGTGAAAAGTCAGACGCACGATGTTTCAGTTACATAACTAGTAGTCATAATTTGAGGGAAATTTCGAAAAATCACCGAACAGAATAATTCGGATTTTTTTTTGGAGGGGGCAATTTTTTGGGCCACGTTGGCGCAGAACCTTCATTTTTTAGGCGCCATGACCGATTTCATAGGCGCATTTGACGCGTTGGCGCCTGTGAGTTTTGAACACTGCTCCTGAGACAAGTATGCAATCAGGAGTTACCTACCTACAATACCAGACTTATTTGAGGGGCTTAGAGGGAAATGTGCTTAGGGGCAGATTTTACTATTTCGAGAAATATACGTTCGGAGTTTCGAAATTACACGTACCTATCCTTATGGCGGAAAGAAAGTTTGAACTGTCTTTTTGATGCTTAAAAATAGGAATTTGGGAGCGAATTTTCACAAAACCTGCATTAAGACTAAGTTTACTTGAAATAATAAATATCTTGACTTTTTAAAAAAGGTAAAAATTACCACCAGTACTCCTTTTCATTTTGTGCCACTGCGTGTGTTAAGAGATTCTAAATTTAATGGACTTTAAAACAGGCATACCTATGTAATTTTCCTCAGCTCATAATGTAGCCTTTAAAAAAATAAAAGCTTTTTTTTTAAAAGCTCTTTTTTAAAAAAAAAAGTTTTCCTTAGGTATTATTCTTCTTCGATGTGTGTGTGTAAATTCCAAATGTTATCTTTTTTCTTCTTCTTTTTTTTTACGTTTGATACCTCCGTGAAATTTGATTCCTAATCGATTTCCGATTTTCGACGTTCAAGTCGAGTCAGATCCCAAACCCGTGACCAGCCACCCTACTTTGATAAAAAAGAAAAAAAGATTGATGTATTATTCGAAGGAGAGTGGAGAATGGAAAATGAAACTGCAGCGAAAACTAGAGGTCACTATCCCAAATTCAAAACGCTGGCAAAAAAAAGTTCTAACTTGAACTCTGATTGGCCACCGCCATAAAGCGTTAACAGATGCCCTTATAATTTGGATCAAAATTCTGCATTTTTCATGTTCTTTTAAACTGATACATCACAAGCCGGGGGTTGCCACTTGAAAAAAAAGTCCATTCCTCCAAGTGGTCCCCCAAAATTTTGAGGGGTCAAAAAGTGGACCTCTCCAACATTTGGGCATTCCCCAAAATCCAAGTTCATCTCAATTTGTTCAAAAGAGGGATGGTGTGCGGCTATGGATCACCATGTATACATGATCATAAACACAGTTATGCACCTTTGAGTTCACAA